GCAACGTCTCGCGTCAAAAATAGACCAGCCGCCTATTTTTAGCGGAGCCGAGACGCTTCTGGGACGCGTCTGAGCCGTAACATTTAGCTGTCTTTGGCTCTTTTCTGCTGTAACAATGTAAACTCTGTGGGACTAATAAAGGTATTCTGATTCTGATTATTATCATTAACAAAGTCAAAAGAAGCGTTGTTACAGATAATGGCGGGATTTTCTGTCTCTTTTCTCGGTCACATGACACATGTTTCTCTCTCTGCAGTGTTGGAGTCGTGGTTGGATCACTCCGGTGAGCTCGAGCCTCCGGATCCTTTGTCCCGCCTCCCGCAGCTCAAGCAGCGAATCAGGCGGCTGCTGTGTGACCTGTGCACTGTGAGACATCTGTCCGTCTGGCGCTGACTCTTTCCCCTCCCTGACCCCTGACCCCTTAACTCCTGCGAGCCTCTGCTAGCCAATAGGAGCAGACGGACTGACTGACGGGCGATCACTCGACTGACAGACCTGCGGAGATCGAGTCGTGGAGCGAGTCGACTCTGCAGAGAAACTGTGCTTTGTTTCCAGTCGAGAAGATGCACTACAACACGACAAGGATGAAGACGTTTTTTTTGTGACTGAACAGGTGCTTTCTTTCTGTTCAATTTCACAAAAGTACCGCAACATTTCCCAAACTGTCCCTCCGTATGTTCAACAACGTGAAGATGAAAGGTTTCAGTATTGGATGGATTTTGATGAGCTGTTGTTTTGCGGGTCTTTGGGAAACTTTTCTCTGTTCCGGTGGTTCTACAATCTTAACTGCATGTGTTCTCATTAGCATCAGATTACCGTGTAGTGTTAGCATCGGCCGTTTCCTAGCAACCATCTAACCTGAGAAACTGTGTTACGACCTAAAAGCTCATGAAAACATTGAAAGGATTTGGGCCGATTTCTTTTAAAACATGAAGATTCGACGCTTCTATAAGTTTCCTACGGCAGAGATTTTTTAAATGTTGTTACACGGCGATTCCTCTGAAATTAAATTGATTTTGCAGCAAAGTGTCACCATTTTTAAATCCTTGTTGGAACGGGCTATAATTATAATTTTTTGTAAAATGTAGTTAAAGGGACGGTTCATACCTGTTTTGCTTTTAGGAATCTAGTAAGATGGAGATATATGAGACTGTCCTTCTTTCTCTGTGTAATGTTAACGCTTAAAAACTGTGTCTCGACGGCGTCTTCCACACACTATCTGTGTTTCTTAAAGGGATGGCGCTGTGGGAAATGTAGTTTTTTTTATAGTCCCTTGACTACAGAGGTCCCCATTAGGTGACAATATATGGCCTTTTTCACCATTTTGTTTTAACTGGTTGTAACAATCATGTGTTTTAAGATTGTTTTAGTGACAATTCGCTGCAAAATCAGTTCATATCAAAGGAATCGCTGCATTAATGTGCTCCATATTTTCACATCAAATTCGTTTTTGGCGGACACAAGACCCTCGTTGTGTGTCTGAACCACACAGATGGATGTATAGAGGATTTATAAAAGACGATATAGGATCATCTTTCTCTCTTTAGGAAACGAGCTCAGTTCGGTACTTCTTTCATTTTCTCTTCCTTTTTTCCTTTTTTCTCTCGTTTGATATTTTCAGGTTTTAGGTATATTATTCGACTTTTCTAGATTTTTATCGGTGCTTTTGATTGTTTTCTGCATAATGTCTCTTTCTGACATACGAAGAAAAACCCTAAAAGCAATGTTTTAATCAGCTTCTACTTCGTTCTTGACATTTGGGAACTGTATACGTCACAAAATAATATCCGCTCACAGGTTCATTTTGTGTTTCGGTGCTCTCAGATGTAACCTGTACAAATATTTCTTTCAGTTTAATCTCATATACTCGTCTCTGTTGGTAGTAATCATTCATTTCAGATGAAGAGTATTGATAGTTGCTTTCATCGAGGCCAGTGTAATAAACTGTTTTCAGTCAAATTAACCAGCAAGACGTTCCTTTGTTGTGACAAAAAACTCATTCTACGTGTAAATATGTCCAGGTAAATGTTTTATACACTTGTGTAAGAAGCTAACTGTAAAAAGCTGTAGATTTATTTTCATAGAGAGATTGGTTATGAATCAGGTTGGTTAATATCTGATGTGTTTGAAGAACGCAGAGCTTCTGTTGCTTCTCTTTAGTTATCGTGCAACCGCATTTGTTTTCATTCTTAACTGTTTTTATTTCAGTTCATGGTGCGTTCAGGCGGTCCTCCACAACTCGAAAAATCAAATCTCTCCTGTTGAAAGAAAGGCAACTTTATTAATACAGCTCATTTCAGCAACAGGGCAATTCAAATAATTACAACCGACATTAAAAGCATTGATACTTTGTACGAAAGGGCGTGATCAAATTACATTTAAATACATTGGTAACTTTCAAAAAAAAAAAAATAGACATTTTAAAGAAGCGTGTGAGATGTGGATAACTCTTTGATTTAATAAAGCGGCAAAAAAAGTAAAATATTTAGCCTTGATTAAAAAGACGTTCATTTGTAGCACGCCTGCAGTTTTCATTTAAACATCCACATGTTTGTAGACACTCGATTTTCCGAGTTGGAGAGGACACGCCTGAAGGCAACACAGGTTCACACACATTAAGCTACAAAGTCAATGTTTTGTTTCTGTATTCTGTTTAAAGCATGACGTTTTCTGACGAATTCTAACTTTGATTAAAATTAAGAAATTCCCGTCTGTGTGTTCGATGTTTCATTCAGGACTGAATCAGGAAATTCATCCACCTCTGAACAGTCTGAAAAGCTGCCAACCAAATTTCAGCTCACTTTTTAAGACACCCAGGGCAAATGGGAAAAACATTTAAAATTAAAACGGAAATATTATGTTTTTGTTTTGCCTCTCCTGTAATATAGGTTTGTGTGCATGTCAATGGTCTGCAAAGGATAACATCCCAAAGTTCCCTACAGAGGGAGTTTCTTACCTAAAAAAAAAAGAGCTTTTTGAATATTAAAGCATGGAAAGATGTCACAGTGGAGACACTAAATACAAATATGAACCAGAAAATTAGCATTAAAGCGACCTTTTGACAATTGAATATGTATTTTGGATGTTTTTTTCTCCACTTATGTTATCCCCTGGGTTCAGTGAAGATGTGTGTATTATATTTCATGAAGAAAATCTTTTGAGATATTTTTTCACTCTGGACCAAAGTCACTGACCAACACTTCCTCCTCTACAGCCACAGTGATCACATGGCTACAAATCTATATTGAGGCTTTTGTTTTGCTTCTGAACAGCCGGGGGAAGGCACACACACACACACACACACACACACATTAATTGTGCCATGAGGGAGTGTCCTCTGAACAAACAGTGAGACCATCTGGCTGATGGGTAGAAAACATAAATCAACATAAATACTCAATCGAAACAACCATAATTAACATTTCTAGAAACAGAGATCCTCATCCCAGTGACCAGTGGTGTCATGTCACTAAATGTGTTGTGCATTTAGTTTTGTCTTCAGGCTTTATTCTGTATTTGTCTTAACTGTTGAAATGAAAACATCACAACAAACAAACGTTGGTTTTTAATATTTTCATTAAAGCTGAATGTGATTACCTCAAACTGGAACATTTCACTTGATCATGAATTACCTGTTTCTGACAGTGTCTATTTTAGAATGAAATAAAATATACATTAAAAAAAGTTTTAAAAAAACAAATATATATAGATATATAAATAGGAAAGGTAAATGTGTAATAAAAAGAGAAAACTAAGTTATTTATAAAGACAATACAAGTAAAACAGTTAATTGTACTACAGTTTATAAAATGTATATTACATAATACAATATTTGGTGCAGTTTTCTAAGTTCACATGAAGAAACCACTGATTTGTTCTAAATTTGAAACACGGCCAGGACTGTTTTCTTTTTCTCTTCCTGCCAGAAAAAGTAGAATCCAACCAAAATATCCATCTGGCTTCATCTCGAGTTAACTTCCCGACACTCCTACAAACAGACGGCTGCTGAACAGAGGAGAGGACGAAGAGATTATACAAACAAGGACAAGGAGCTTAATATTTAAAACAATTTTTCTTTATAAAAGTCTGTGGCAGTTGTCTCGGTTATAGGTGTGTGTGTGTGTGTGTGTGTGTGTGTGTGTGTGTGTGTGTGTGTGTGTGTGTGTGTGTGTGTGTGTGTGTGTGTGTGTGTGTGTGTGTGTGTGTGTGTGTGGCAGCAGCAGTATAACACCTTAACCACACTGGTGTACCCAAGTTATTTGCATAGATGTATTTGTATAACCACAGTACATGACTGGTCTAAATTGTCCGCAACACTTTGTATAATAGCATTTCCCTAAACAGGTGCATGCAGATCTCTCTTCAATGCACTGATTCTCTCTTTGAGCACAGGCCAGATTGAGAGCGCATTGAACTCAAACTAAGAAAACAATAAAAAACAACCTTTCAAAAGCATGTATTCGATAGGGAACTTTTTTTTAAATATATTTTATGGAATAAGATGTATTGCTGTGGATTAAACCTATTCTAACACTATATACATACATACATACATACATAAATACATACATACATACAAACATAAATACCTACATACAAACATACCTACATACAAACATATAACATCAGGCACAAACACAATAGAGGAGAGCTTATAACAGGTTTAGACAAGATAGTTTAGTTACACTAATGCAGCAGTGATATAGATCCTGAAACAAAATGTATTAGAAAACAATAATAGTGAACATTTTACTGCACAATGAGTTTTAACATTTTAACTTTCATGTCAGATGATAATTTTGTATTTTTTGACTACTTTTCCATGTTGGGACCATATTACAAAAGATAAATCAACTACTAAATTCAGTTATTTTTAATACTTTCTACTTTTTTCAGCTCTTTCTAAATATAAATAACACCTGTTAGAGTTTGGTGACCTCGTGACCGCGCACTGAATGCACGCCCTCTTGTTTACGGTGACGTAGCTCCGCCCCTTTTCTCCGCGTGCTGCTGACAGTGAGCTCAGTGTGAGAGAGGAGCCTCGCGACCACCTGCTAAACTCTCCAACGGTTATCAGTTGACGGTGACGGGCTAACGTCTAGTAGCAGCTAACCAACTAACGAACGGAAAACTTCCGGAGATAACGACTGACGGTTAGTAACTGCTTTGTAACGGACAACGTTTGCAACGTAACGGCTACCTATTATCTGATTAGCTATGAATAGCTAGTGTAGCTCATTAGGCTAATTGTCGTATTAACGGGTACTTGTGAGTTAGCTCGTATGTTATTGATCCGTCCTTGTGAGGGTTATCTTCTATGGCGACGGTGTATTTGGTTACTGCCGTGTCTGTGTCTATCCGTGTGTGTGTGTTCGTGCGTGTGCTAGTGTGGGGCAACGTCTCCCATAGTAACGGTTGCTACGCCTGCGCTGTGTGTCTGGAGCTAACATTAGCATCCAGGCTCATTAATTAGGCAGCATTTAAGTGTGTGTGCGTGTGTGTGTGTGTGTGTGTGTAGGCGGACAGCTGAGCCAAGAGCATCGTTATACTGTACATTCACTTCAGCTTGGAAACGCAGTTAACACATACAGATATGATGCTAAGCTTATTATTGTAACTGATCATTTTTAGTTAGACTTGAATAATACTTTCACCAGTTATCTTTCATAGTATCTGTGTGCATGATCAATACATTATCCAAGTTCCAGGTGAACGTCAACACGTAACGCTGCAACTTTATGCTACTTAATATAAAGGGAAAGGTACAGGGTTCTCATTTTCTATGACTAATCTACAAGAAAAGTTAACATCATTTAAGGGATCTTGGATACACAGAGGTTGTTGTGATGGACAAACACAGCAAATCACCAATCATAATCCTTCTTAATCAATGTATCAAATAACCAAAGTGGACAACCTTAACATTTGAGAGGAACAGGAGATAATACTGAAAGGAAGCTGTGATTGCAAAAGAGGAATGCAATGTAATTTAAATGAAAAATGTTAAGGTTCAGAAAGGATTACCTTAAAACATGTATTGTATCATCTGGTTGAAATTCCTGAATGTTTTTCATATGATAATAAATAATAACAATATTGCATTTTTAGTGCATTTTTAATAATTTTTCTGAACATCTTGCACCGCTAGTTTGGTTTCATACTCTCTGCATTCCTCTCAATCAACAGAAAAAAACGTTTATGAAGGACGAGTTACATTGATGATTTTAACTATATCGACAGTACATAACTATATCGACAGTACATCTCATCTCTATGCACTGATCAAACTTCAGCTTCACTGTCTGTCAGTCAGTTATCTGTTTGGGTCAGAGCCAGATTGCCCACAGGAAGCTCAACATCCATCTAAACCACTCCGAACCACTGTTACCCAAGCTGTCTGCCCACACCACACACCACACACCACACACCACACACACTACACACCACACACCACACACAGACACACAGACACACAACACAACACAACACAACACAACACACACACACACAGCTGGATGGCCTACTGCCAGTGAGAGGTCACTGGCTCTTTCCATTGGATTCACACTGTTGGATAAGACACAGGAAGACACCCAGAGAGAGACAGACAGATAGATGGGCAGACAGACAGGTAGCAGATCTGGATCATGGATGCAAGATAATTACATTTTACGCAAAAAACCTCGGCCAAACTGTCTTCGAGCTACTCTTTATTTTGTTGGACTTTACGTGCATGTTTACCTGTTGTTAGGGATGCTCCGATCGATCGGTCACCGATCGAGATCTGCCGATACTCACTCTCTACCGATCAATCGGTGCTCTCTAAACATGCCGATCGCGAGGGCCGATCGCATGACGTAAAATACATGACACTCTTCTCTGTGCGCGGCAAAACAAGCTCGCCAAAATGGCTTCACCGGTCTGGCATTATTTTAAGGTGTCCGAAAAAGACAGTAAAATAGCGGTATGCAACGTGTGTGTGAAGCAGAAATCCTGCAGCTCCACCCGCTGTGACGGACCGGTGAGCGGAGCAAAACACACAAGAGTTAGACCTAACACACTTAGCTATTTTATCTACCTCTGGAACAAGCTAAGCTAGTTATAAATATGTTTATTCTTCACTGTCGGCCTCACACATTACTGGATCAGCGAGCTGCATGAGACGATACTGACGGGCTGTCAGGAGAGGGAGAGAGGGGGAGAGAGAGGGGAGAGAGGGGGAGAGAGGGGGAGAGAGAGAGGGAGAGAGAGGAAAAGAGAGCGCTTGCTCATTTCTCCCGTGGTATTATCCAAAGTGAATGTAAACTTGAATAATATACATAATTTGAATGTAATAATTAAGTTGATTGTTGTTTGTGGAAGCTCCAGTGAATGAGCCCCATTAACTGAGTTTTAAACATCACTTTAAATGGAAGATTTAAAGTGATGTTTAAATCTTCAATTTAGGCCCCGCCCACTCGATCGGATCGGCGATCGGTATCGGCAGATACTGATTCCGGCGATCGGCGATCGGCCCCAAAATTGGCGATCGGAGCATCCCTACCTGTTGTGCTGCTTTTACCATTCATTCATCAGCTTTAAAGATGACTTTGAATTCCAAAATCCCTGACAGACGCTCACCTGTGACATGTTGATAGGTGTTACTGTCTAACACCGTACCTGTCTCCCTCTTTTTGTCTTTTTTAAATCTGCCACGAAGACGTGTGTGTTCAGGTTGACAGTAAAGCAGTTCTATAATGGAGGAGCTTCACGACGTCCAGCTGACTGAAATCAAACCTCTCCTGACAGGACAGGTACAGCACCATTTTGTTTGATAACACATGACTAAAGGAATATTCAACAAAGACATATCTTACCATCAGATCCATATGCTAGATGCTTGAACTCATTTCATAACAGTGGTTAACGAATGTCTCTCTCTTCAGAATGGGAGAAATCTGCAGGACTTTGACTGTCAGGTGAGTTCAGCACCGTCATGTAACACCTTCACACCTTTTCTCTCCTTGGCATTATGTAGTGCTAGAATCTAAATAAAAATACGATAAGATAGGACTTAATTGTCAGATCAAGTCTGACATTTATCTTGCATCACAGAAGCTTCCTTTTCAACATCAGACAACGACAGATATTAAGACGCAATACAAGGAAAACAAGGCACTTTTGATGGTGTTATTCAACCCTGAGCAACTTACTGTTACATTGGTACATCAGTTAATTTACTTTATTTTAAATAATTATCATTTTTACAAGTACTTAATTGCAATGGATTGGATGCATTGGACAGTCCTATTCAAAATCTAATGGAAATTGTTTGTTTTTTAATGTAGCAAGGACGATTCATTTATAGGTTTGCCAACTAAATGATGTCCTCTCTGCAGCACTCTAACCTTATTGTCCATGGAGATGAACTAACATAACTACGCACAACAACAAAACAACAGGCAGGAAGTCCAAACAGTGTTACTGCTGGTTTCAAAGTAGAGGGGTTGACAAAAAAACATATTCTTTAGAGTTAATGCGCCTGATAACAATTTACACAATATCGATACGTCTATAATTTGTCTTCTTCATGTTATAAAAAGTACATATTTATGTGGAGATATGTGAGGAAAACTGTATGCAAGAGGTCAAACATCAGGCTGAAACTAGTTCAATAAGCATCAGCTCCACACTCTGATATTGATCGACTCGTTGGACTGACGTCAAAACAGCGGGTCAGTTTGCATCAATGCCTCTGAACAGACAGTTATTTCTAATTAGAGCACAGGATAACAGCTCTGCCTTTGTCTGCTCCTGCGAAACATCCCGTGGAATACTTTAAAGCTATTCCCATCTGTCACTCAACTGAAAAACTGCAGTTCATCTCAGGGAAGTCTGCATTTTTAATTACGTTTCAACACAGCCGGGGAAAGAAGAGAAATGAAAACAAAAAAATCCTTTGTGTTGAGATTTACTTTATAGTTCAACCCTGTAGGAGATTTGAATTGGGTTTCCACCTATGCTTTCTACATCAAGGAAACAAGAAATATATCCATGAGCATAACACTAGTGCATATACAGGCTGAAATAGATAAATAAAGTTAAAGGGGACCTATCATGCAAAATGCACTTTTTGATGTCTTTTATACATCAATGTGTCCCCGGTGTGTCGGGGAACTCACGCAGCGTCAGAAAATAAAACCCTCTCTCTTTTCCTCCGTACCCAAATCTCTAAAAACGGGGTTACAACGGAGCTGATCCAGATTTGCGTCCGATATGACGTAATATCGGAAATGTGGACCCACGGCCCAATCAGAAACGTTGCTATCAGAAACAATGCCCGACTGTTTTGGACGTAATATGGTCGGTGTTTACATTAGCATCGCTAACACTCAGAGCTAACCTGTACTGGAGAGCATGTGTGTGAAGAACCAGGAAATAAAAAGGAACTCACCTTGTGGTATAACCGGCAAGAGAGAAAGCCTTTGAGCTCCATACTGTTTCAGAAACAATCCTTGATAATCAATGATATGGCGTTTCATCACGGCAGCATTTAGTTTAGACACTAGCTGCCGGGTCCCGCATGAGCTCCTTTTTTATTTATCAATTTTTAATTTTTTAAAAGCTTTATACCCAAAATCAGCACTTTTAAAACAGGAAGTGAAATAGAGTGATATGAGGCATGGCTAGAATGGGTGATCTGTTTGGTATTTTGAGCAAAACACTTCATAGACATGTTTTTTATATATTTGTATATATCTGAGACCTATGCTATTGCCTAAAAATAGCATGATAGGTGACCTTTAAGTTCAAATAAAGCTCTGTTGTTTTCCTTCCATTTATTGAAGTATGTGTTTAGTGTCACCACAAGAGTTTTGATGAATTAATAAAATAAACTCTTCAGTTTTTGTATAGGTTATTACTAGGGATGCTCCGATCGCCGATTTTGGGGCCGATCGCCGGAATCAGTATCGGCCGATACCGATCCGATCGAGTGGGTGGGGCCTATGGGGATCTTCCATTTAAAGTGATGTTTAAAACTCAGTTAATGGGGCTCATTCACTGGCGCTTCCACAAACAACAACGGACATAATTATTACATTCAAATGAAGTACATTATTCAAGTTTACATTCACTTTGGAGAATAACACGGGAGAAATGAGCGGAAGCGCTCTCTTTTCCTCTCTCCCCCTCTATCTCTCTCCTGACAGCCTGTCAGTATCGTCTCATGCAGCTCAATGATCCAGTAAAGTGACCCGACAGTGAAGAATACATATATGTATAACTAGTTTAGCTTGTTCCAGAGGTAGATAAAATAGCCAAGTGTGTTAGGTCTAACTCTTAGTGTGTGTTTTGCTCCGCTCACCGGTCCGTCACAGCGGGCGGAGCTGCAGGATTTCTGCTTCAGACACGTTGCATACCGCTATTTTATTGTCATTTTCGGACACCTTAAAATACTGCCAGACTGGTGAAGCCATTTTGGCGAGCTTGTTTTGGCACGCACAGAGAAAAGTGTCATGTATTTTACTTCATCATTTTACGTTATGCGATCGGCTCTCGCGATCGGCATTTTTAGAGAGCACCGATCGATCGGCAGAGAGTGTGTATCGGCCGATATCGATCGGCGGTCGATCGATCGGAGCATCCCTAGTTATTACAATCAACATGTTTACTGAAGAAAACAGTATAAAGAAATAGATAAAAGTTCTAGATGGGCTAATGGACATTTGACAGTCAGCCTAATGTATATTGATTTGTCTTGTCATGCACACAGTGTCCTCCTCATGGAGCAAACAAACACAAACAACTAATTCAATAACAAAATATCAGGTTGTATTGTTCATATTATTTTTTGAAATTAGTATATATATATATTATAATATATTATGCATCATATGTTAAACCAGAACTGCAGTATAACATTTGATTACGTCTCTTATTTGACACTTTAAAGGTTGAATTATATTTACATTTGAGGAATATCCACAGTGAAAAAGACATTGAAACTTAATGAATCATCGTACATAATCATGACATCTATATTGGCCACAAATAATTGAGGATATGCTTAATAATAAAAAAGAATCAGCCAGGCTTAGAACTACATTACATCTCATTTAGCTCACACTCTTATCCAAAGCGACCTACATACACTTTAATAGAGTGCCACAGTGAAATATAGTTAAAAAGTCTTAGTAAAGTCAAGAAAAAATAGATGAAAGTATATTTCTTTTTAAACCGTTGTTTTCGTCTTATTTCCAGTGGAAAAAAGGTTTGTTTACCAACATATTTCATCATGTTTACATCAAAGGAACCCTGGAAGAGTATCACTTAAAACAAGTGGTATGAAAAAGTCACAAAAAAAGCCATAATTGTTCAGTAATATGAAAAAAGAAATTAAAAATATTGTGTGAAAACAGGATTAAAATAGTCATATTCTAGTATCTCTGTATACAAATGTATAGCATAGTATGACATACAAATAAATCGGTCAAAAGGTATAGGTTGATGGAAACAAATATATGACAGATTAAGGCTGGAGCCACACGAGGACGATAACGCAAACGGACCGAAATCGATATCAAAAAAGTCTTCCGTCCACACGCAATAGGCACCAGAAACGTGTCCGTTCACACGAGACCGCTCGAAAGCGCTGGAGACGCTGTAGTACATATGCCAGGCCTGTAAGTGGCGCTGTACTCCTGCCACAAAAGCAGCGAAGAAGACTTCCCGCGCATGGTTGCCATGGTTGCCCTTCTGTTTATTCTCCGCTGTGGACGCTCTGGCTCTTTTTCTCCCTCCCCGAGGCAAGCGTTTGCTCCTGCTGTATATCTCTCCGGTAGTCCACCAGCAGATGACAAACACCCACCTCTCTGCCTCTTCCAAGGGACGAGGGGGCCGTGCGGCAGAGTTTCAGTTAGATTTTTTTTCGCTGGTCAACATGTCCGTTAAAGTTTAAATCTTCCGGACAAAATTAGAAAAGTGCCGGTCAGAGGTCTTCTTTGTTATTTATTGAGCTTTAAAACAAATTGATAACGACTCTATATAATAATATAAGAATAAAAAACGGAGCCTCTCTTTTCCTCCCCCTCTTCTGCCAGCCCAGCAGCTGATCTCTGAGCAGGAGAGGTGGGGAGAGGCGGGGCTATTGCTTCAACGTTATCAGAAAATGATCGTATCTGGCGTAAACACGGAGCCGTTTGCCCCCCCAGAGCGTTTCGTTCGCAGATCTACCCACCTTGGGACCCGTTATCGTTATCGTTTTATGCGTTTCCATGTCGGCCTCGTGTAGCCGAACCGTCTATGATAGAGAACTGTAGCGGATATGACCGTTATCGTCCTCGTGTGGCTAGGGCCTAAAAAAGGCATAGTTTCACATATCAAGTCGAGAAAAATAGAAAAAAGTCATACTTAGTATATATAAGTATGTCCAACGTATACCACAAATAACCTGGGTTTGGAACAGTAACATGTGACAATTGTTGAGAATACATCATTATTTTTGATATAATATTGTTAATATTCTTAGAAAAAGGCAAGATTTTGAAGTACGTCTTAAATCCTAAATTACAGAAATAGAACACATCTAAAATCTTACCAAATACCAACAACCACTTCACAAAGTGCAAAACAGTTCTTATGAAGTCAGCAAAAATCCTTAAAGATCATATCTATATTAGTATGTTTCATGTGTAATATCTTTATATTTAAAAGAAAGATACTACACATCAAACATGTGCTAAATGCTGCTCAATGTGTGTCAACCACAGACCTTATTATTAGCTATTTTCCAAAATCCTATGGAGAAATTGCATTGCTTTTTGTCGTGGTAAAGTGCTAACTTACTTCCGGGTTTTAGGACGCGTCACTGTGGCACTCTATACCGTAGACACACAGAAGCAATTTGGGGTTAAGTATCCTACACAAGGTCACTACAACTAGTCTATCGCAGGGGTCGTCCAACGGCTACCCCCCTGATTGGTTTACACCCATTCCCCCCCCCTTAGCCACACCGCCTTTGTTTGAGAGAGAATTAAACCATTGGGGGATGAAAGAAGGGCAACAAGTGGCTGGTTGATTAAACCGTAAGTCCTTCGGGCTCTCAGCCAATGAGTACAGAGATTATTCCTCTTGTCACACCATCTCTGTCTGCAGAAGGCTAAAGGACAACCACTGACCTCCTTCTGTTCCTGTCTCTAGTTTTAATATTTCTCTCTATTTATAAATCACGCCGTCTTCTCTCTTCCTCTCTAAAACTCTCTGTTGTCCTCCTCCTCCTCTGTCAGGATGTATGACTCTCTGGATTTGCACCAGATCTCCTGTTCTTTAGGAGTTGGGGTGGTGAGTTAGCCAGTTAGCCGTTCATTAGCCTCAATCTCTTGAGTCATGCTTTGCCGGCTACTAGCTAACAGGAGTCAGCCTTTTAGCCAGTTAGCTAGTTAGCCGTTCATTAGCCTCAATCTCTTGAGTCATGCTTTGCCGGCTACTAGCTAACAGGAGTCAGCCTTTTAGCCAGTTAGCTAGTTAGCATGCTCATCTTGTTTATCTCCATTCACGCTGTTAGCTTGCAGGCAATACATGTGTTGATAAGCTCGCCTGTATGTGTTCTGCTTCAGGGTTAAACTAGAGTGAGAGTCAAACTTTAAGTTAAAAGTCAGATAAAAAGGTTTCTTTTTGCTTCTTTAATTAGTACCCTCAACACAATACAAAGTCCTGGTTCAGGGAGTAAATCACACATCCTGTGTATTGTATATTCAGCAGTTTATATAATAAAATACAGCTATGCAGTGTAGTGACACGTGTCTGCACACTGTCTGTTTTTAGGAAGCTTAACATCCATTAATAGAAACTGTCAGGTGTTTCCATTGATGAGATTACTTCTCAGAATCTCAGCTTCTCAGCTAATGTGAATCCATTCATCTGTCCGGCCATACTCCATCCAGGCTTCCAGTTATTATCTCAGCTTCAGCGTTTTCATTACAACATTCAGTTTTCTTATAAAGCTGTTTCGATGTATGAGCTGTTAAGTGCTTGACTTTTGAAATATAAGGCCTCAAACTCATAGTGGTCCTTCAATTAGATTTTTTTAAGAAGGTTTTGAAATAATTAAATTGTGATTTTTCCCAGATATTAAATAACCCACTCTTAGTTTCTGCATTATTCAATTCTTCATGTCTCTCTGCCTCTTGCATTGTGACCAGATATCCTTATTTTATCCATAAAACAATGACTGACCTTGATAATCATTTTAATTTGAATATTGTGCTTTTATTTTAAGTTCCATTGCGTGCTGACATGTAGACCTGCATTCAAACTAATGTCATCAAGCTTTTTAGTCTTGTGTTCCAGTTTCCCACCTGATCATCTGTATTTCTAGAGCATCTCTCTGTCCAGCCACTACTGTCTATTGCACTCATTTTAAATAGCATACATTTGCTTGACAAGGCGTCTTTTACTATGGCCTATTTAGAGAAAGCCTCCAGCAGTTGTGTCTGTGTGTGTGTTGCTCCTGCTGTAGTGTTTGTTGTTGGTGCAGACGGCAGGATGTTTATTTGTTGTTGCCTGCTGTGTTTCTCAGGAGCACGATGTGGAGACAGCCCACGGTGTGCTGCACGTTACCATGAGGGGAGTTGCTAAGGGCAACCGACCCACAATCCTCACCTACCATGACATCGGACTCAACCGTGAGTCAATATTCACACACATCATACAGTACATGCGGCTCAGAGGGAAAACATGTGAGGACTTAACATGCTGTGTGTGTTTTTGGGTGTGTGTGCGTGCGTGTGTGTGTGTGTGTGTGTGTATAGATAAGTCTTGTTTCAACAGCCTGTTTAACTACGAGGACATGCAGGAAATCACACAGCACTTCTCCGTTCTGCATGTTGATGCGCCAGGACAGCAGGAGAACGCTCCTGTGTTCCCCACCGGGTAACACACACACACACACACACACACACACACACACACACACACACACACACTGAACAAAGAAACCTAACACCCTCACCGTCCTCTGCTTGGTATTAACACATGTGCGCAAGTCCCTCAACATTTTCCACTGGGTAACACATACAAACACACACACACACACACACTTGATGTTATTCAAGATTAAATAGGGTTCACCATTAAAACATCGGTGTGGATCTGCAACAGAAGGAAAAAAAAAATCTTTGATCAGTCGTCCTATTATTTAAATTGGACTCCCTTCAAAATCAGATTTTATATCAGAGGAAGGAGGATTAAAAAAAACATCCTTTTGTCATATTAATGTTTTTAAATAAAGTGAGTAGAACAAAGCATAGGGAACTTTAAGATAATTATCTTGTGTCTAGTTGTGTTGGCAGCTTAATATTTGTGTGTGTGTGTGTGTGTGGTGTGTGTGTGGTGTTGTGTGTGTGTGTGTGTGTGTGTGTGTGTGTGTGTGTGTGTGTGTGTGTGTGTGTGTGTGTGTGTGTTGTGTGTGTGTGTGTGTGTGTGTGTGTGTGTGGTGTGTGTGTGTGTGTGTGTGTGTGTGTGGTGTGTGTGTTGGTGTGTGTGTGTGTGTGTGTGTGTGTGTGTGTGTGTGTGTGTGTGTGTGTGTGTGTGTGTGTGTGTGTGTGTGTGTGTGTGTGTGTGTGTGTGTGTGTGTGTGTGTGTGTGTGTGTGTGTGTGTGTGTGTGTGTGTGTGTGTGTGTGTGTGTGTGTGTGGTGTGTGTGTGTGTGTGTGTGTGTTCGTGTTCGTGTTCGTGTTCGTGTTCTGAGCTCTGATTAGATGATGTCACTCAGCTGTTCAGGGCCACAGTGTGATGGTTTGGTTGCGTTCTGAGCTCGTCAGTTGGAGTTATGACATCATCACACAGGTGTTTGTGTTTGAGCTAACAACGTGTTATCATAACAACTGCGCTTGAGCCCAGAGATCAAAGGTTTCCATGGTGATGTGCAGTAATCAGTCAGAGGGGAGCTTTTCCATTGATCTGAATGAGAGATAAAGCTCTTACATGTGAACGTTTTGTTGAAGAACCGTAGCAGATATCGGTGAAATTTCAATGTGTGGAGCGTCTCAGGACCGTGGGGAGTGTCTGTGTGCTTTTTTTGTACTTTTGGGTCAATAATGTGGCATTTTGGGCAGATTAACTAAAGGTGTGCAGCTGGTGCTGTGATGAAAGATTTACAATTGGTCTTAATGGAGACATGTTGAAAGTGTTTGTCACTTCATGCCCTCAAGAGGCATTTTGTTTAATTTTTTTTCTTTTCCAACCTAGGGGAAGTTTTCCTACGTTTTTCATGAAAAATTATGTCCGAGGAGTGTAGGGTTAGGGAATTATGGCAGGTTTAAAACATTTATTTGGGCGAATTTCAAGCTGTCCTCCACTCTGTTTTGAGATCAAAGCACTCTAGACTTAACGAGCTGCTCAATACACACTAATGTTCAAATCTGAAGAAAGCCTCTTTACCAAGCTCCAAAGTAAGTTAAATATCTCAAAGTGTAAAAGAATGCTTGCAAGCATTAAAAGAAGATCTCAAAATACTTTATATCGATATTGTGTTCCTTTGCATATTTGCCTAACTCATCTTTTAATCTAATGCTGCGTTCACACCGGACGCGATGCGAATATTCGCTTCGCTCTAATCGCTCCTATTGCATCGCTCTAAACGCTCAAGTTTCACCGCGGCTGTCAGCTGTGTTTACTCGCGTCATTCAAACAAGACGCGCTGGCTCGGGAGCTACAACTACAACAAAATGAACATATTTTACGGTGATTAAATTGTAATGCACGTTTCTAAATGATGCCGAAGTAACAACATACTGATACCTGTTAGTAAGAACCATGAATTAATGCTTTGACAAGTCTGCAGACAAGACGGCAGGCGAGACACCTTTTAAAATGCGTGTTTTCTGAATGAAGATCGGGTCGACCAGGCTAAGCTAACGTTGTATATGCTCCGTCCACACTCATAACAACGGCCTACAGACATAAATAAAGCAGCGACTGTATTCTCCATGACACAGACAGTCTGTGGTTTGTACTTGTTTAACTTTTGTCCAGTTTCTGAACAGATATGAGGAGCTGTGAGCTCTGTGTGCTAACTGCTAACAGCTAACGGCTGATGTTTTCTGGTTGAACGTCAGTGACAGCGGCTGATATCCTCACCGCTGATTAGCTACCGCGAGATCGCGCCACACGGATATGACGCTCGAGTTGAACAAATTGAACTCGAGCGTTTGTCGCGGCCCCCTTCAATCGTGGAATTCGCGTCCACCGCTTCATGTTTGCCGTCGGAGCGAATTCGCGTCTGTCCGCGTCTCTGCATTGACTTTACATGTAATCGCGCCGCCCCCAAACATCGCATCGCGTCCGGTGTGAACGCAGCATAAGACCGCAGCTGATTTTAAGTTGCTACGACATTTGGGGGCTCGTCCGGGATCGCTCCCTCTGGATAGGTAATCCTGATGGTGGTTTTGGTCCCCACGTCTTTGCCGTAACCTTTTACCGGGGCTTCATTCAACCTCACTACGACATCGTATTCATCTATACGGGAGCCCAGAGACTTGTTGAACAGGATTCCCCCGTTGCCCACAATGATGCATCTTTTACAGCTGAGACTGTCCAGATGCTCCCCGAGTCCGTAATATTTTGTGGCAGTGAGAATGCTGTCTATGACTCTCTCTTGTGTTTTGAATCCAAACGGAGATAAGTATTGCTGACTTTTGCAAGACGTTTGAAGTTTCGATCAAGAAACATGGGGTGCTGGTTTCATGAACTTAGGATAGATGGTGGTCATCTTGGCTGCTGCGTATCCCGGCTTGCACACTCCTTCGCTGAGGTTGCCATACTTGTACGCCAACTCCTGTGAAAGTTTTGTGTCCAGCTGCAGCAGAAAGCCCTGCTTATCATACACAGTTTCTCTTTGAAGACCATCTGTCTGAGCCACTTGAAATCCAGTGGTTTGAAAGCGGAAAAAACAAAAAGGGAGTTGTCGCTCTTCTACCACTGAATTTCAAGTGGCTCAGACAGATGGTCGAAACTTCAAACGTCTTGCAAAAGTCAGCAATTACTTACCTCCGTTTGGATTCAAAACACAAGAGAGAGTCATAGACAGCATTCTCACTGCCACAAAATATTACGGACTCGGGGAGCATCTGGACAGTCTCAGCTGTAAAAGATGCATCATTGTGGGCAACGGGGGAATCCTGTTCAACAAGTCTCTGGGCTCCCGTATAGATGAGTACGATGTCGTAGTGAGGTTGAATGAAGCCCCGGTAAAAGGTTACGGCAAAGACGTGGGGACCAAAACCACCATCAGGATTACCTATCCAGAGGGAGCGATCCCGGACGAGCCCCCAAATGTCGTAGCAACTTAAAATCAGCTGCGGTCTTAGAGTAAAAGACGAGTTAGGAAAACATGCAAAGGAACACAATATTGATATAAAGTATGAGATCTTCTTTTAATGCTTGCAAGCAGACACCTCCACCAAAGAGTGTGTCCTGTTCTGTTACAGTCACTCTTATAGGGAAACATGCAAACCCACATGACATCACAACATCATGTGAGGCCAGGTGTTTGCCTTCTGGCACAGCACTGTATGCTAAAACTCACACCCCTCAAAGAACAATGGGATACACAGATAACCCCTATCATAAATTCCATCTCTCTTCCTGTAGTGTCCTAAAACCCCCTTCCAGAGACATCTGTTTATCACACAAACATTCACATGACAGTCTCATTTCATTTAGGATTACACTATATTAAGCTTTACTACCATAATTGCCATAACTGTGTGTGTGTGTGTGTGCGCAGGTACCAGTACCCCACCATGGATGAGCTGGCGGAGATGCTGCCATCTGTCCTGACACAGCTTCAGTGAGTCTTTGTGATGCATGATGGGTAATTTAGTAGGAACAGACGGTTTGTCAGTTCACCAGAATGTACTGTGTGTGTTTTCATTATCAGGGTGAAGTGTGTGATTGGCATCGGTGTGGGAGCTGGAGCCTACATCCTCACCAAACTGGCTGTGAGTATGATCTGCCCTACACACACACACACACTGTCCGGCAGTGGCTCAGTCAGTAGGGGCTTGGACTGTGAGCCGTAGGGTCGCTGGTTCAAGTCCCCGACCAGACCTAAATATGGAGTGTGGACTTCTACTTGGAGAGGTCCCAGTTCACCTCCTGCCCTGCCGTGGTGCCCTTGAGCAAGGCACCGGACACCCCCCTTCCCCCCCCACTCCCATTGCTCCCCGGGCGCTGTACAATAGCTGCCCACTGCTCCTAGTACTAGACTCCTTGTACTAGGATGGGTTAAAAGCAGAGGCCAAATTTCACTGTGTGTGCTGTGTGCTCTGCATGTGTGACCATTAAAGAGGGTTTCATCCCTCCCTATTCTATATACACACACACACACGCGCACACGCATATATATATATATATATACACACACATACTTACATACATGTTGATGGTGATGTTGATGATGTGTGTTTCAGCTGAATGAGCCCACTCTGGTGGAGGGGTTGGTTCTGATCAACGTGGACCCGTGTGCAAAGGGCTGGGTGGACTGGGCTGCCGCTAAGGTAGTTTGACAAAAATAATCTTAACTTAAGGTCAAAGGGCCAGTTGCATAAAATATCTTTAATATCAAATGAATTGCTTACTAAATACCCTTAGTTACCCAAGATACCTCTAACTTTGTCTAATCGCAACCTAGCAGACAAGTCTCAAATGAAAATGATCTGATATGAATACAAAATGTGATGTTTTTGTTCCCTGCAGCTGAGCGGCTGGACGAGCAACGTGGTGGACGACATCATGGGACATCACTTCAGCGCTGTGAGGACACACTTTGTTTACAATAACCACAGATTTGAAGAAGCATTTATGAGTCTCCCCTTAACTCTGTGTGTGTGTGTGTGTGTGTGTAGGATGAGTTATCAGACAACATGGAGATCGTCCAGACGTACAGACTCCACATCTCTCAGGATATACCGCTGGAGAACCTGTCCATGTTCTACAACAGCTACGACAGGTAGGGAACCCTGACAGGAAGTTAGCTGCGTGTTAGCATGACAGGGAACCGTGATGGCTACTATTAGCAATTCATTAGGATTGATTAAATGCAGGGACAGGGAACACAATATTACAGGTTATGTAACACTTGATAAGTTCGATATTTTCCCAAGATAGCCTTACTCTTACATCATACACTATTGTACACTCAGGCCACTGCTATATAAAGGTCTCTACGAACCTGTGAACTTTGCTATCTTTACTTTAATTAGTCAGAGTGGAAGTGGAGCGAGGGTTATAAAACAAACACCCCGAGACATGGCCGCCCTTTATCAGATTGTTATTGGTTTTTGTTGGTGGTATGTAGGCCTGGTTTGTAGCAATAAAAGCTTAAATTAACCAAACCAAGCTTGTTTGTTATGTTGCAGTTAATAGTTTTTGTGATTTAAACTTTAAGGACATTAATAATCTTCACCGAATTCCTCCGGTTTTTGAAAACATCTGACAGAATTTCAAATATTTTCCTACATGTATTTATTAAGAATGAGTGTGTAGATCCTCTTGGCCAATGTTGACAGACCTTCATAGCGAACATTCGTCCAAAACATGATCATTGTAAATATTTGTACACTTGGCTTGTTAGTCAAATTATACATTTTTTTATTTTCAAATGAGTTTGTTAAATGTATTAGTAAGGGGAAAGAAAGGATGATGATGGTCATGATGAATGTAGGTGAGACAGGAAAGCATGGACAGAGAGGTGAGAGGAAGACAGCAGAGAGGAAGACAGGCAAGGAGTCTTGAAGCATTTTTATTAGAAGTAATTCCCGATAAACAACATCTCTGCAAATTAAAGTCTAAAGGCCTTCCAGTGTCAGCGCTAAATAAAGCTCAGACTCTTAAGCACCGCTGCTGGAGAGAATCCTCAGGGAAGAACTGATTCATATTATTACCGCTGCTGCTCTCATAACGCTGCAGCAGAGCTGTTGGGCGACCTCAATGAGACGCCAAAATAAACCGTATTATCATCTCCACTCTGAAGTCTACAGTGTTTAGCTCATGTTCTGTTTATAAAGTGTGTGTGTGTGTGTGTTAGCCGTACTGAGTTGCAGATGGAGCGGCCGCTCGTTGGTCTGAATGAAGACACAGTCACCACACTCAGGTATCATTACTCCTTTCTTCCCTTCATTTAACAATTATACATTTTTACCAACAATCCTGTTACATCTTATCTGACGTCTGTGTCTCTCTGTGTGTCAGGTGTACCTCTCTGCTGGTGGTTGGAGACACGTCGCCTGCTGTTGAGGTCGTGGTGAGTGTCTGCCCTGTTTCCTTGACAACAGCCAGTAGATGACGTCACAATGTTGTAAATAAAGAATGTGTGTGTGCGTGCCTGTGTGTCTGTCTGTGTGTGTCTGTGTCTGTCTGCTCTGCAGGTGGAGTGTAACTCGAGACTGAACCCCACCAAGACGACCCTGCTCAAGGTACCTGTCTGTCTCTCTCGTCACTCCACTGTCATCAGAGCTGTCGTCAGTTTGTGATGTTCACACTTCCAATCATTACTCAACGATAAAGAGGAACAAAATGCATTTCTTCTCCTTTAGATTATAGTCCTTTTTATAATATAATAATAATAATAATATATATATTTATTTTTGTTTAATGTTGTTTTTGTCAGTGTCAGGTATAATGTCTAAGAAGTATTAAACTACCTTTACAAAGATAATGTTGGTTCAGTTCACTTTTTCAATCGCAGAAAATACTTTTTATTTAGTTTCAGTTTAGAACAATATCTTTCACTGCTTATTTTCATCACCAAGTAAAGGATGGAAACCGTAGTTTGTACATTTAGAGGAGCCATGTGCTCACCATCTTCTTTGTCTCTCGATTAGATGGCAGACTGCGGAGGACTTCCTCAGGTGGTGCAGGTGAGCCACTCACCGTCTCATCATGCGTTTACACTGACATCCTCATATTTACTGTGAAAGACATACTAGATGCTGTGATGGTTATGTTGTCCATGCTGGGAGAGATAAGATTAGATGCTAACACTGGGAGACAAAGTACCCAGTCCACTTTCTATGTCAAATGTATTCCAAAGTTTGTCATAACACTAATACGAGGTTACAGCAGTTCAATCAGGAGAGACGGTTTTGATGTAAGAATACATATTTAGTGCCAGGAATACACAAATTAATGTAATGGAGTTTTGGCGATTAGGCCCCGTTGTGCAGGAGTATCATTCGGGAGGGGAGAACCGATCCGATGAAACCCCCCGGGGCCTAGACACTGGTGGTGGTGAATGGATAGTTGGGGTCGGTCTGAAGGGGAGGGGCTTAGCTTGACCCTGGGTTCAGAGGGACAGGAGGTGAAGAGGGGTGGAGGAGGGTTGCGTCGAGTCACCTGAAAAGACAGCTGTCAGAGGGGAGAGCAGATTTAAAAGGGTTAGCAGAGCACTATGATAGGCTTGTGAGAATAGAGCGAAGTGATTGGTTAAGCTGGGGAGTGACGCCCCCGATCACTTATTGAGAGGAGAGAGAGTAGTGACATAGAAATAGTAAATTAGTTGGGGTCGGTGTGTAAAGACGGTCTTCCTGGTTGAACTTGCGCTGAGCTTCATTTGTCCAACCCTGATAGTCCTATACCCCCCACCCTAACCTTCCCTTATATTGTAAAGCGATGTTGAGTCCTTGAAGAGCCCTATAAAAATATAATGTATTATTATTATTATTATACTGACAGGTATTTTAAGAGTTTTTAATGATCTGCTCCTAGCCGCCGACTCAGGTAGCCCAGCTGTCTTGGTGCTGTTAGACCTGACAGCTGCCTTCGACACTGTGGACCATAGCATCCTGCTGTCACGGCTTGAACAGTCCGCTGGCATCACAGGCTCTGCCCTTGCATGGTTCAGGTCCTACCTGACAGACCGTAGCTTCTCAGTGCAGCTAGGTGCCTTCTCCTCTGCCAAAGCCCCTCTTACCTGTGGGGTTCCCCAAGGCTCGATTCTGGGCCCCATCCTTTTTCTACTGTACATACTGCCCCTAGGTTCAATTCTCACAAAACATAACATTCCCTTCCACTGCTACGCCGACGATGTACAGATCTCTCTGCCTCTCAAAGCAAATGTCACACACTCACTACAGCAGCTGATCGACTGCTTAGCAGAGATAAAATCCTGGCTGAGCAAAAACTTTCTCAACCTCAACGAGAGCAAGACTGAGGTCATCTTTTTTGGACCGCAACCTCCAGCCTCTCCGGTTGATATTCTGGGCTCTATCAAAAAAAACATCCTCCCTCGGTCATGAACCTTGGAGTGACCTTCACTAACACTTTTTTAAATTCGACAAGCAGGTCAGCACCGTAGTAAAATCCTGCTTTTTTAAAATAAGACTATTGGCCAAAACCAAGTCGTATTTATCTTTTAAAGACTTAGAAAGGGTTATTAACGCCTTTGTAACCTCGAGACTGGACTATTGTAACGCTCTGTATGTGGGTATGGACCAGGCCTCAATCAAACGCTTACAGCTAGTCCAAAACGCTGCTGCACGTTTGCTGACTGGCCACAAAAAGCGTGACCACATCACCCCTATTCTGGCCTCACTACACTGGCTTCCAGTTCGGTTCAGAATTGATTTTAAAATCCTTTTATTTGTTTTTAAAGCACTAAATGGGCTGGCTCCGGCCTATATAGCTGAACTGCTCCAGCGCTACACCCCAGCCAGAGCTTTAAGGTCGGCTGACCAGCTGCTGCTGGTAGTGCCCAAGACCAGGCTTAAAACCCGAGGGCACCGAGCCTTCGCAGCAGCTGGCCCTAGGCTCTGGAACACTCTGCCCCTCCATGTGAGGTCGGCCCAGACCCTAGGGGTTTTTAAATCTAAACTAAAAACACACTTCTTCTCTCTGGCTTTCTAGTTAGAGCGGAGCACGACTCCTGACTTTTCCTTGTGTTTTTATTTTTATTTTGTTTTTAAGATATATCTGTTGTAATTTATTGTCGTTTATTGTGATTTGTAGTAATGTGTTTTTATTACATGTACAGCACTTTGGCTCGACCAAAAATCGCTTTTAAATGTGCTATATAAATAAAACCTGATTTGATTTGATTTGATATCAGATCTTGCTGTGTAAAATAATCTTCCTGAGAGGTGTCACTTGTGATGTAGTCTGTGTGGTCTACAGTGAATGTATTCCTGACAGCTACAGGTGATAAGAATCAAAGGTTCCCATAGGATCCCATAGAAAATGCATGCGGGTCATTTTTGACCCATTTTTGACCCACTTATGGAAGCTTGGGGTAGTAATACAAAAACTACAATTTCTTAAAATGTAAATTTAAAATGTGAATGGCATGATATCCAAAATATGTTATTTGAGGAATAGCTGGAATATGAAATGATTAAAAAAAATGTAATTACAAAGATACTTCAAGAAAACCACCTCACCGGGTCAAAAAAGACCCACTTAGGCATCTAAGGGTTAAGTGTTGGAGTAGGCAGAGCACCCTGTAATGTACAGGGCAGTGTTTTCCTGCTTAGCTTTGGTGAAAGCATGGTCACATTAACAGGGAATTGTGTACTCAAAATATTCTGAAAAACACTCATTTGTCTTTCTCTGACCAAAGAGGAATAATTCTCCATAACTACAGTTAGAATTACTTTAGGGAGGGACTACTTCACTGCCTGTGTGGAAATGAGTGAGACCAGTCAAATTACTGTGACCGCAAGACACACTAGAAAACATTTGAATCAATCCTTTAATGGTCAGTATGCTAGATTGTACAAATTGTGAATGTTCACACTGGAAGAAGTACAACAACCTGCTTTCATGTTGCGTTTTGAAAAATAAAGAATGATCTTACGGGGTCCGCGGGGTCTTAAAAAGTATTAAAAGTTGATAAATCAATTTAGCGAAAATGAAGGCTATTAAAAAGTATAAGGTATTACATTTTGTAGCTTGTTTTCAATAAGTATATAAAGTGTCCAAAGAGGTTGTATTCTACAGTCTGCCTGAATGTAATCATTGCGTAGGTGTGTAGTGTGATTCTGTGTAGTTTATTTATGGCATCCCGTTGGATTGGACGTCATCTGAACAGGACATCGCACGCTCACTGCTTGATAGCGCGCGAAGGTCCGTTTACGCCGGTTGTTAAACAACATCGTTATGGGGAAATGCAAGTTTGCGTCCAAATGGTTGGAAGATAAGGAAGAAGGACAATCAATACTGTATATAGTCAATGTGAGGTTAAGTGTGTCACCAATGTAACCGGTTAAAACTCCAAGTGGCGATGAGGTCTTAAAATGTATGGAAAGGGTCAAAAGATCCAAAAATACTTAAAGTTCCAAATTTACTTAAAGTTCCAAAAATACCGTAAATTCCAAAAATACTTAAAGTTCCAAAATACTTAAAGATCCAAAAATACTTAAAGTTCCAAAAATACCGTAAATTCCAAAAATACTTAAAGTTCCAAAAATACTTAAAGATCCAAAAATACTTAAAGTTCCAAAAATACCGCAAATGGTTGGAAGAAAAGGAGGAAGGACAATCAATACTGTATATAGTAAATATGAGGTAAAGTGTGTCGCCAATGTAACCGGTTAGAACTCAAAGTGGCGATGAGGTCTTAAAATGTATGGAAAGGGTCTTAAAAAAGGTCTTATTACATTTGACTTCAGGATTCCTGCATATACCCTGATTAATGTTTTATGAATGATCAGCCGGTCTGACTGCAGTGTGTTTCTCTTTCCTCAGCCTGGAAAACTAGCAGAAGCCTTCAAGTATTTTGTCCAGGGGATGGGCTACAGTGAGTACCTTCTTTACATTTTACTATCACACTCTTCCGTAGATTTAAGAAGAACGCATTTTCCCCACATGTATATCTAGGAGGAGATATCAGAATTTCTAGCTAACACATCAATTAGACTGAGGGAATATACTTTGGTTTTTGTAACTTTCTGTTGGTCTTTGTCTCTGTCAACATGTTCCTGGTATATGTCCTAACCTCTTAACTCTTTCTCTGTGTTTTACTATCGTCACATTTGAGTGATTTATAGGCTTATTGAAACAGGACTAGTTTTACTTTATGTGATTTAGAAATTCCTCCTGATATCTTTTTTATTGTATTCAAAATAAATAGGGGTCACTATCTAATACCAAGCTCGGCTTCAGTGGATGAAAGCTTAACTAAGGGCTGTTTTTTTAATATGTTTAACTGAATGAAACCTATAACTGATATGTTATGCTAAGCTGCTCAAACACAGGGTGTGTGTGTGTGTGTGTGTGTGTGTGTGTGTGTGTGTGTGTGTGTGTGTGTGTGTGTGTGTGTGTGTGTGTGTGTGTGTGTGTGTGTGTGTGTGTGTGTGTGTGTGTGTGTGTGTGTGTGTGTGTGTGTGTGTGTGTGTGTGTGTGTGTGTGTGTGTGTGTGTGTGTGTTGTGTGTGTGTGTGTGTGTGTGTGTGTGTGTGTGTTGTGTGTGTGTGTGTGTGTGTGTGTGTGTGTGTGTGTGTGTGTGTGTGTGTGTGTGTGTGTGTGTGCAGCTGTGCTTCAACACTAACTGTAAGTAGCAGTTTGCAGTGACTTACTACTCACTATACAGCAGCAGAGTATGAATCGGTTGGATTTCCGTGTGTGTGTGTGTGTGCCCTTGTGTAACTACAGTGATCTTTCAACCTGTCCTCCTTCTTTCCTGCTCTGGTTCTTCTTCTCTCTTTGTCTTTGTTTCCTCCAGTCCCTCATGTTGTATTAAACTGCCTGAGCAGCCAATCAGGTATCAGGATTTAAACCAGAATTTAACCCCCCCCCACCACCACCACCTCCATTTTCATCTTTGTTTCTTTGCTCTCTTGTTAGTCCTTTGTGTGTGTGTGTCTGCATGCTGTTGATCGAGTGGTTTTTTCCTTCTGCAGGCTTTGCTGCTGCATGCCAACACACTATTGACACTCGTCGTCACATAGTAGTAGTTTGGAACTGCTCATGTCTGTAGAACCAAACTCGCATCCCACAATAACATGAACTGAAAACTATGAGTAGAACGAAAACAGAAAATATCAGATCTGTTTTTGTATACATGTCTCTCTATGGAGATGCCACCTAAACCCTGTTATTGCATGAAGTTATAAAAGCCCGTAAGCAACTGGGTCAATGTTCCCTAGTTTTGCAAACCAGAGAATGTCATCATGGTGTTGAATTGTTGTGCAAACGCTGCGAACACAACCTGACAACATGATGACAACCGGCTCAGGTCAAGATGTAAGAATGATCAGATTTGACATCTCAGATTCTCGTTTTGTATGCTTTAGGTTTTTGTTGATGCAACACCTCACACTGAGCAGAACATGTGAAACATTTGGAGCTTCAGTGTGAAAGTGCCTTTGAATCACCGCCATCCGATTTGAATCCTGCTGATATGTCACAGTGTGAAACGATTCAAATCAGCACATGCTGTTTATGACCTGCTGTCATACGACCAGGCTCTCCAAGGGATGCATCGAGTCATCGGCAGCACATCCATAGTGTCCAGATTTGCCGTGTAGAACGGCATATAAACAAATAAGATCAAAATCAAATTCAGAAATATGTTTATTGCCACCGAGGTTTACACAGACAAGGGTTGGTTTGTTTGTTGTTTGTTTGGTGCCTACATAAAACACAGTAAGAGAAGAATAAATGACCAAAAATAGGACTATAAGTACAAATACTTTAACATTAAAAATATAGATAAATATTTACATCAATTATAGATATACAAAAAAACTAAGAGCAGCATAATATGACAAAATACTCAGAAAAATTAAATGATACATATGCAGTATTGGGATCGAAATGGAGAACTGTGCAGATATTAAAAGATGTAGCTTTTAACACAAAACTACAGAGTTATGTTCAGAAATCACAATATTAAAATGAGTAATACAAAAAGATTTGTTCACATGATATGCATTAATGTGATGCATAACGTCTATGGTTGGGTAAGAGTCAGTGTCAGTGGATGGCAAGATGTTATTCACTAATAGGCAATTTGAAGTTTGTTAATTAAACAAAGAATACCACACAATATTTTCACAATTTTTTTTTGTTCTTACATTCTTAAAGTACTGGTTCAAAAGAAATGGGGTAGTTTTAAACCGCAGCGTATTGCATAACTGCTGAAAGACTTAGAGACAAACCAAGAACTTAACCTTCTTGGCAGTTAATAAAAAATAAAGAGATAAATGACGACCTTTATAGAAGCTTTGAATGTGAAATCAACAAGAGAGAAATTCGGTAAAGCCATAATAAAGTTGATTTATATATATATGGTCCTTTAAACCAGAGTGAGAAATACAAGATGTGTGCTTTAACTAGCTCAAAGTCTTTTTTTAGCCTTTTAATTAACTCTTAAATCATCAACAGTGCTGATCAGCTGTCCCTGATTTAAGGTTTTACACAACTAAAAAACATTTTCCATCGGACTAAATTATTTTTAAACATCGGTTTCGGCCCGGTATTTCCCAATCGGTGCATCCCCTCCCAACAGACACATGAACCTGCTCCATTGGTTTCCTGTTTCTAACATGTCTAACCCCCCCCCCCCGCCTCAGTGCCGACAGCTGGCATGACCCGGCTGGTGCGCTCCAGAACTCACTCGGCCTCCAGCGTGGGCTCGGCCGAGGGCGTCCGCAGCCGCAGTACCACCACCACGCTGCCAGAGGGCGCCACCATCCCCGGACACATGGCAGAACAGACCATCGAGATGACTGCGTAGGACTCTCCCTGCTCTGTTCTCTCTCTCTTCCTCCTGATGCTGCGTGCGCCTGAAACTTTCCTTCTCTGTGTCGGACGCAGCCAAACATTTCTAACGTTGTAGTCGTTCTTCCTAATAATGAAAAGGTCACATCTAATATGAAAGTAGGTTTAAAAAAAAACAAAAAAATACCCGTTGCTCTTTAGGATGTTGTGTAACTTCCTGCCCCCTGGAGCCATGCTGTTGCCGTGGTGACGCTGTAGATGTAACTGTACATGGAGCTGGTTCATATTTACAGTTGTGTTGTGTTTTCAGTAGATTAACCAGACCTTCATTTCTCTTCCCTTAGTTTGGGCCTGATCCCTCCTTCTTTTTATTATTACTCTTATTATAATCGTTATTACTTTGTTAAGACTCTTGTTGTTGGTGTTGTTTGCTATGAAGCTCGTTTCTGAAACTCTTTTCCTAAAATTACGGTTACTTAAAGGGACTATTTCACCAAAAAGAATAATACGAAATAACCTAACTACTGCCCTGGAATGCCAGACAAAAGATCTATTTTTTATGACTTTATATAGGAGTTGTATTGATATTATGACAGCAAAATAATATTAAAATATCTCAAATAAAATCATATATGAAGCTACTACACCGCATTGGGGTTTAAAAAAAACATTTTAAAAGGGAAACATTTTAAAAGGGAAGGGGGGGTTTTAAGATACACATTTACTAGAAAGTATGAAAATAAAAAGGTTACATTTACAAGAAAAAACTGAAAAAAAATTGGATACAAAAATCTTTTGTGTCACCAAGTTTGCAGATGATCAGTTTTGAAAACGCTCTATAATTCTTAAAACAGCCCAAATATCTCTCAATCAGCTGCAGTTGGTCGTTATTTTATCAGCATGAAGACGTCTTTTTCTACTGATAAAACCTCAAGAAAAGGGCAACGTTTATTTCTGTGAACGGGCAGATGTGTGTCTGTTATTCCGGCTTCAGAGGGTTAAGTAATAGATTCTGAAACGCATCATTTAAAAAAGATGATCTTAACTTTATCCTCTGGAGGGGATCCTGAAGTCTTCCTCTTACTCTACTCAGTGTTCATTCGGTCGTCAGCAGCATGCTCGTGGTGGAGTTTTGGCATGAAGTCTGTACCGTGCTCAGTGAGTCTCTGAGATGTTGCTCAGCTGTGAACCTGCCTCTCAACTCAAGAAACCTCCACGTAAAAAAACAATAGAGACGCTTGAACTTGAATTTTTTTCCACGTGTGTTGCCGTTTTGTTTTTCTGGACTGAAAGCATTCAGCAGGGTTGTTGATAATTGAATTGTATAGGTACTTAGTTGTTTGGCTTAAAGGTAGGGTAGGTAAGAATGGAGAAACCAGCTCGAGTGCGCTGGAATTTGAAAGTACGCAGCCGAAAGAAATCTGCCCCTTCCTTCAGACTTCCTTACAGAGCCCCTCCTCCAACACACGAACGCGCACATGACCAATGAGGGCACGAGATAAGTTTGTGCACAGATGGAAGGCTGACAGGCAGGTAGGCCATCCAGTTATTTTAGCCGGGCCGGCTCAGATGATTGGTCGTGCTTTTTACAGTACTACGGCTTCCACAGATGACATTTTTTTATGTATTTATTGTCAAAGCATTTCATATATTCATTGCTATCGGGATGTTAAGAGCATTCCATGGAATATAACAAGTGTTTCTGAAGTGAATTACCTACCCTACCTTTTAAGTGACATTGATTTGATAACTTGCACTTTAAATGTCACTGTTGGAGACATGTTGCTCGTCCTGCTGATGTTGGTTGACTGATGTTGATGTTGGTTTCTGTAGAGACACGTTATGATGCTGAACTTTTCCGTACTGATAACATTTAAACAGTTCTCTGGTGAGATGCTGCCCCCTGCTGGAGGACTGAATAGCAGCTCCTAGAACAACAAATACATCCTGGTATTTTGACTCTTATTTGAATTATGTAACACTTCTGTAAATCAAAAACATTCAGATCTTAGAGAGGGGGTTTCTGAACTAACAGGGTCGACCCGCAGACTCACTCAAAGTCAAATATGAACTCATTTTATTCTATATTTACACTAACTGTATTCCTGCCGTCTGTTACTGTTACTAATATTTATTACTGAAACTATTACTTTTGAGATTTGTACTGAAGCATTGGTAGCTGTTACTCTTGAGGTTTGTTGTTCCATGACTTTTATTGTAAACACGGTTTGTAATGAAATAAAGCTCGTTAATTAATATCCAAAACTCTGGTTTGACTTTAATATTCAGCAGCGGGGGGGAAGAGATATTCAGACTATTTACTTAAGTAGAAATCAGGTAGCGCTTTACATTAAGAGCCTTGTATGAAGCAGCCGTTTTATACATATATATTATTAAACAATCCCTACATAACCATGTATGAATAATACCATTAAAGTGTTAATTATAGTATCATAACCATGGTAATTGTTGGATTATAAAATACTATGTACCTATAACAAACCTGATGACAGTTTTTTTATATTTCTTTAAAATGATGAAAGATTCCGTAAAATAAAACTCAAAATAAATTGTAAGTACGCAACTTCTGGCATAGTCTTAGTTTAAGGCCAGTGGATTCCCTCACATTTATCTGGACAGTAAGATTATTATCAAAACAAAACATGTCAACACTTATCAATGAAAAAATGATTTATTGTCTCTATTTTATACAATATTAAGCAAACAGACGGACACAACATGTCTTCTATGATGCCGAAACGCACTGATGATCTGACCACAAACAGTGTTGACTATAAGTTGCAGGTTCTTCAGCATTAAATCCATGCTGCAGATGTTTTGAAGCAGCAAAAGTCCAGTGTAGTGATGCAGGCTCTTCAGCTGGCAGCAGGGGGCGCTGTCTTCATGCAGAGGCGACCCAGCAGCCCGGCCATCTGCAGCAGAGAGTTCACTCCTTCAGCCACCCGCATGTGAGTGTAGCCGATCTCCTGCAGCACAGAACCACCACAACATCAGGTCAGACGTTCAGTTTCTCATTTACATTCTGCTTGTTAGGATTTTACTGTCAGTAATAATACAAATAGCACACTTTAAAAAAACAACGTCATCTCAAGGTGCTTCACAATGCTATGAGGAGAAAATAAAAAAATATATATAGTTATCTAAGCAGCATCTGAGTTGGATATATTCAAAAGTTGCACAGGGACTTCTCAGTAAATTATTTAAGATACGATGGACCTTTTTTATCCCTATTAATCCACGGGGGGAAAATCAGTATTTTAAACAGTAAAAGGGTAAGAATGAAAAACAGGATAGCACAGATTCACACAGATTATAAAAATTAAAGATAATATTAAAATGATATACAGTTAAGTAACTTTAGAATAAGAAATTAATTAAAATGAACATATACATTTGGCATTTAAAATTAAGAAAATAGTTTCTTTAAGATATCTTGAGTACTGTTTAGGTTGCATACAGTTGTTTATGCATCAGTTTTGTTTGTATTTACTGTCCGCTGTCAATTAAAAAGGTAGGGTAGGTAAGAATGGAGAAACCAGTTTGAGTGCGCTAGAATTTGAAAGTATGCAGCCGAAAAAAATCTGCCCCTTCCTTCAGACTTCCTTACAGAGCCCCTCCTCCAACACACACGTTTGTGCACAGATGGAAGGCTGACAGGCAGGTAGGCCATCCAGTTATTTTAGCCGGGCCGGCTCAGATGATTGGTCGTGCTTTTTACAGTACTACGGCTTCCACAGATGACATTTTTTATGTATTTATTGTCAAAGCATTTAATATATTCATTGCTATCGGGATGTTAAGAGCATTCCATGGAATATAACAAAAAGTGTTTCTGAAGTGAATTACCTACCCTACCTTTAAAGGACACATATATAGAAAAAATGCCAATCAAAGCTGTTGCCTCTCAATAAATGGATGTACTATCCGGAGCCTTTGGTCTCTGCCTCACCTTGATGAACTCCAGCTTGAGGTACTCTGGCATCTGGAAGGTCTTGCACACTCTGAAGATGTTCCCGATGATGTCCTCCGGAGAGTAGCCCAGCGCCCACAGCTGCTCCACCACCTTGTACGCCTTGTCGATGTCCCCTTCCACACAGTGTCCCAGCATGCCTTTCACCAGCAGCGGGTGAGGCTCGTCGCACACTTTGAAGACGTTCTCGCTGTTGATGTAGCCGAAGCCGGAGTTGGTGGACTGCAGGTTGTTCAAGGCCTGGACACGCAGGAACAGGAAGTCAGGAACACCCCTACATGCCTTCCTTCATGCTCAACACTAGACGCTTAATGGATAGTCTGTATGTTTTGAAGTGGGATTGAATGAGGTGCTTTTCCATAGTCAGTGTATTGTCTACAGTAGATGACAAGTCAGAATGCCCTCAATTTGGAGAACAGACAAAGATAACGACTTCAGTTCTCCGTCAGAGAGAGCCGTCTAAAAGCAAGGTAAACAGGGTAGATATTCTAAATATAGCATATATATACTAAAACTTATTTTCAAAAAGAAGCTTATCTTCCTGCTAGAACTCCTGTCTGTTTCTAGGAAATACCCCAACTATGTGAAAGTATCTTTATACAGCTATACTTCAAAATACTGAACTCCCCCCCCCCCCCCTCACCTGTCTCATGTCCCCCCTGTGCGGTGAAGATGACGGCCTCCAGCCCGTCGTCAGACACCGACAGTTTCTCCTTCTCCACGACGTCCTGCAGCCGCGACAGGATCTGTCCGTCCGTCAGCTTGGAGTAACGCAGCACGGCGCAGCGAGACTGGATCGGCTCGATGATTTTATCTGAGGCGTTACAGGCCAGAGCGAAGCGCGTGGTCTTAGAGTAGATCTCCATGATCCGCCTCAACGCTTGCTGAGCGCCATCTGTCATGCTGGGGGGAGGAGGAAGGAGAAATTAAACCATGCCCAGAGACACTAAATTATAACATTATTATAAGATAAAAAATCAAAGGACACGTGGCTTTATATTTCGACATCCAAAACATGTTTTGGAGTGAAAGTATTCCACAGGAAAAATATGTAGATAGATTGAATTGTGTGTGTAACATCTGTGTCTCATCCCTTTATTTATCGGGCTCAGATTAATCTCCGGACACTTTGCAGGGTCCTGACTAAAGTGTTGAGTCAGTAACTGTTTCACATTCAGATGATAAACGTTGCTCACCTGTCGGCCTCGTCCAGGATGATGACCTTGTGTCGTCCTTTGGGCAGTGTGACTTTCTGCTGAGCAAACATCTTGATCTTGTTCCTCACCACGTCGATTCCTCTGCAGACACAACAGCATCAGTATAACCTCAACAACGCATGATTTTAATATATATTAAACCAGTGTGTGTTGTTTTTGGAATAGAAATTGCGAGAAAAGTCCAAAATAAGCCGTGCAGGAACAACCTTATAAACATGGATTCGACAACAACATGGTGCAAATAGGAACGTTTATGTATGCTGTCAATTAGAGTTCCGAGAACGACAGAAAATATAAATAAGTGCATCTTTACTACAGTCAACGTTCAATCTTGACCTTGGAAAGAGTTCTACAAAATAATCTGAGCTCAAAGTAGAAAGTTAGTTAATGAACTGTGAGCAAAGATTATTTTTGTTTGTTTTGTTAGTATGTCACCTTTCATTTGAAGCGTTGAGCTCCAGCACGGCGTCTTTCATGGAGGCTCCCAGCAGAGCTCGAGCCAAACACAAGATGCTGGTGGTCTTTCCTGTGCCCGGAGGACCTGCACCACAAATCACATTTTACCATTGAGTTTGTATTACAAAACAGTCACAAAAAGCTAACAATAGGATTTACATAAGCTGTTGCAATCTTCATATTAGAAAAACAATCAGATTTATAACCGATGCATTAGTTTTAAAGTTGTTGTCATTATAGATAACCACAACCTTACTGTTTACAAGCTTTGTGTACAGCTACGGTGTGAAACACAGAAATACACCAGTGTTTGAAGCGATAAAGTGACATGTGTCGGTGAGTAATTGTTTGATCAATGTCTTTATTTTAGACATCTTGTATCAGTGTTTTTATATGTTCAGTGGGCGAAAGTAACTTGGTAAGAAAGTACGTTTACTTGAGTTGGTACTGTATGCAAATTGACACAAATCATGATAAATTGTTATAGATAGGCACAGCAGACTATACAATAATAGAACTGTACCCAACCTTTATCAGCTGCAATATTAAAGTGATGAACACACATTCAAACATCAACAATATTACTTTAAATCTGCATAATGAGTACTTTTACTTCAGGAACATTAAAGTATATTTTGATGCTTATACTTTAACTTGAGTGACATTTTGAAAGCAGGACTTTGCAGTATTTTCACACTGTTATAACTACTTTCACTGAAGTATAATATCTGAGTACTTCTTCCACCCAGAGCAGCACCATGTAGTTGTTGCATTATTGAGCAGCCGGTTGGGAGTAAACAATTAAACACTAAACTTTAATTCCCAGTCCTTTCTACCTCCTTGTTTCCACACTGACCTGCAATGATAATGTTCGGGACGTTTCCCTCCCTGGCGAACACCTCCAGCCGGCTCACCGTCTCCACGTTCCCCACAATCTCTCTCAGCTTCAGCGGACGATACTTCTCCACCCAGGGCAGTTCATAGCTGACACCGGAGCTTTTAGTCGAAGCCTCCCCGGCTCCCGTGTCCGTTTTCTGCCCGCTTTCCGTTGTTGTTTTCTCACTTTCAGGCTCCACCATCTCCACGTCGTCCATGATGAGTTTATGTATGTCAGCTCAGCCCGCGAACTGCAGCGGAACTTTTCCCTCCCTGGCAACCACGAGTGATGAAACTGACGCCTCATTGGTCGAGCGTTTATTCAGTGACGCCACTGATTGGTCCAGGACACGGCACTTAAACCTCGCGATATTTGCAACAACCAGGATCGTAAAAAACAGTAAAGACAAAATGATATGATAAACAAAGGCACATTCATGAAACCTGTTTAATGCTTTTTTGGTATGACTTCAAAATATGATTGATTATTGCTTGGATGTGTAAGATTGTACAAACCAACAGAGCTTGAATATACAAAATATAATGGTCTTGAATGAAAGCATTTATATTTCTTTTATATCGTTTATTTTATTCTTTACAAATTATTTTCAGGCTATGTTTGGGGGGTTTTCAGACAAGTGGAAACAGTCAAAATATAGTTTTTTTTATACGTAGTTTGTCAATTTGCCTCTGTAGATTTGACCTAAATTCATCAGTTCAATTCAAAGAAAGAATCAGATTATGTATGATTTAAACACATTTTCAGATTGCTTTGTATATATATCATTCAAAGGCTGATCATTGTATATCTAAAATCAAGGCAAACTTTGTATTTTTTTCAAAATGCTGATATTACCTTTCTGATTTAGGGAATGTCACAAATATATATCCACAATTCCCTCTTTAAAAACCTTTGACTCTATTTTACAATACATTATTTGTTGAGCCTGTGTTACCATGGTAATGTAGAATATTGACGTAGCCAGAATACCAGTTAAATATTACATAAAGATAATAAGATAATGGCTCATTTGCATAAAACATATTCAATATATTGTCTTAATGTGAGTAGTCATCTGAAGTGTCATTGAGTCTACTAGTTCTTTTTGTAATGATTTAAATAATGATATTTTTAATAATAAATGCCCCATGGTGTGGAATGAGGTGTGGAGGCCTCGGTAGGAAGTCGTCATCGTCTCGGTCTAAACCGTTTCCTTCTTCCGCAAACACAGAGTAGCTTCCCCGTTTATCGGTTGATCAATGCGGCGGTGGACTTCTGCCTCTCGTCTCCTGGCTTCATTTAATATTTCTAACAGTTACCCACATTTATGAGTGATTGATTCAGCGTCATGACGGCCAACAGCCGCTGTTCCGCCGCAGAGCCCCGGGCCTGGACACCCAGCGGCGGGAGATCGAGTCTCTTCTGCGGGAGTGGGAGCTCCGCGCTGGGGACAGTTGGTGAGTCTAAAAACACTGTTAGCATCACACGGCTAATGGCTGCTTACGGCTTTAACGGCAGAGTGTTGGTTGTTAGGAACCGTTTAATGGTTGGTGTTGGCTGTTGGGGGCCGTTAACGGGTCGGTGTTGGTTATTAGGGACCGTTAACGGGTTGGTGTCGGTTGTTAGCTCGGGCTAACCGGGGCTAACAGACGTTAAACTGGCCGTTAACCGACGATGCTAACGTTAGCCTGTCAACCTGCTGTAATGACATGTTCAGGCTCCACTGCTATGCTTCCACTTTTGTCTTCACCAGAGCTGGACTGGGGTGTGGAAAATGGGAGATGCGCAATTAAAGACATCTGTGCCGTTTGGTTTCGAAATGAGATGTTTATTTGACCATTTCTGCATAATAAATAACAATTTAATGTGCTAAAAAAACATGTCCAACCTTCTTAGCAGGAACTCAGGCTTCAAACCTCCTTTACCTTTACTCCACTACATTTATTTTGTACTTTTAGTTAAGTTATAGATTTAGATTAATGATGTGAAATATAATCAGCACTTAAATCAGACTTTAGTTACACCTGGAGTAAATGTACAAGCTACCCTGCAGTATACAAAGTCATTAAAACTAGCTGCACCTTTACCAGCTTTGATAACACTTTAATGATCAATCATTATAACATATATCATATATATTATTCTGAAATTGACCAATCTGCATAACGAGTACTCTTACAGAGTTTAGTCTCAGTTTATTGTATCGTTTCACAAGTACTACAACCACCACTGTGAAAATACTCTTTCACAAGTATTCCTGCATTGAATATGTCACTTGAGTGAAATTATGTAAGTGTAATCAGGAAAAAAGGTTAAGGTATTAAAAGTAGTAGCTGTCCTCGTTTGGCTTTGATTACATGTAACTTGGCTAATGCTGAAGACATTGTGATGTTAAGTGGACCTCTCTGTCTGTAGGTCAGCACCTTACCCCCTAAGCCAACATAAGCAGACATGTGTCATTCAAATCAAAACCCAAAAGACTTTTGAAAAAAGGGAAAGTGGCTGATTATTAGGATCATGTTTAACGTCATCACCACAAATATTCTTAATTAAATAAAGTCATTGATAGGATTGCCTTTTTAATTAAGTGAGGGGGAGAGAAAACTGTTTTTGTTAAATGCTAAACAACAACAAATATAGATATTTCTTTTAAAGTAAAAACATTTTTCAAATCTATTTTTTTTTTTCAATCAATTTCAACTTTCGGACTTTACACCTTTCAGGGGGATTTCAATTCATTGGATTTTTTTTATTATATGTGTCCGAAACAATTACACACCACTGGAACATTATCCTACAAATAGTTTAATAAATTAGGGAAGCCTAATCCTTATTTCTAACTGCATAGGAATTTAAGGCTTAAACAGAATGAATAGACATGGAAAAAGAAAGGAACAACTCTGTCATTCAAATGCTGATTTAAATGTAGAAGTCAAAGCAGAATGAGGCTTCAAACCTTTCGCGCCTTAGCTAATTTAAGTCATTTTTGACGACCTAATACCGATAATGTAATAAAGCATCAGTGTCAGCAGCCATAAAATACCTTTGCCTCTATGATGCTTAAAAACATTCACTAAATTGAACAACCATCCCTGACTCTCAGCTGAAACAGAAGTGTGTTTCCACTGGGGACGGACTGAAGTGATGCATGTGTTTTCTTCTGATGCCGTCCAGTCGCAACTGTAGTGGAAACATGATCAGGCAGATTGTGATGCACCATGACTGGGCAGGTTTCTGCTGTCGCTGGAACAAACAGCAGCCTTCATTTGGTTTCATTTCCCATTCTCTGTCCACATTTTCATAAATCTCACAGTAGAGCAGGAGCCGTAACGCTGTCAGAAGATTACTTTATAGGTGCACCGTGGGATCATTCAAAACCAAGGCCAGGTTTTTTATTTTATAGCCTGTGACGGTGTGCTGTTTTGATCTTCTTTGGTTTAGTGTATTGGATTTGAGTCACATGGGATCCACAAATGCACAGAAAGAGATGGAGAACGAGATGTACTGATAGAAAGATATTTAGTCTCACCTCAGATCTGTGGATATCTTCTTACACTGTGATAAAAGTATAATGATACCCAGATCAGAGAAAAAGGATCAAGACCAGGTAAAGACATTTGACTAACAAGTAAAGCAAAACTGTGTCTGTGAGATGAAATGAAACTGAAAACAAAACCTGTGTGTTGGTGGTTTGGTGACATCAAGTGTTCAGATATATTCACTAAACCAACTGTGTGTGTTTCCGTGTAACAAGGGCTCTGACATTTGCATTTTAGATAATCTTTCTGTGCTCTTGTTCTTCTGTAGAAAAGGCGCCCAAATTTTAGTGACCTCAGTCAAAGAGCTGGACTGAAACACAGTTGATGCGTGGGTGTCTTTCATAACAAAACCCTTGTGAAATATGCGTTGGGTTTGTAGCAGTCAGATGTTTGGACTCCAGTGTAAATGATTTACGTGTCAGGTGTAGAGCTGACTTTAAGGAGTAGGAGAACAAGGCTGTACAATCATTAAGGCTCCAACTTGTTTTTATCTGGATTTTGTCTAAAATAAATGTCAGAAAAATGTGAAAAATCTCCTTCCCAGTCTCTCAAAATTTAAAGATTTTTAGTTGTTGTAGAAATTCAAAACCCTCAGATTTTTTATTCAATATGATGATACTTAAAGGTAGGGTAGGTAAGAATGGAGAAACCAGCTCGAGTGCGCTAGAATTTGAAAGTACACAACCGGAAAAAATCTGCCCCTTCCTTCAGACTTCCTTACAGAGCCCCTCCTCCAACACACACGGACGCGCACATGACCAATGAGGGCACGAGATAAGTCATCCAGTTATTTTAGCCGGGCCGGCTCAGATGATTGGTCGTGCTTTTTACAGCGCCACGGCTTCCACAGATGACATTTGTTAATGTATTTATTGTCAAAGCACTTAAGATATTCATTGCTATCGGGATGTTAAGAGCATTCCATGGAATATAACAAAAAGTGTTTCTGAAGTGAATTACCTACCCCACCTTTAAAAGAGCAAAACAGGAAATACTAATTAAAGCGGCTAAAAAAAGGATATTCTGACATTTTTGCTGAAAAATGTAACAATTATGAAAGAGGTTGAAAAGGATTTGGTGATCATCTAATTGTTGAATCTTATCAGCACCAAGTTGTCAACCTGCCTGTGTGTTTGTGTGTTTGTGTGTGTGCTGCAGGTACGTGGTGGAGCGTCGCTGGTATGAACAGTGGAAGGAGTTTGTGGAGACCGGAGACCAGAACTCGTCATCTTTCCCCGGTCAGATCGACAACACTGAGCTGTTTGAGGGTCAGTGAACGCCCCGCCCACAAACAACACGCCTCTCCTCATACACTCTTCTTATTTGTACCAAGTCCAAAACATAATCAGTTTAATTTGATATAAAACGGAGAAAAAGGCAGGAAATCTCCATAATGAACCAATACATTCAGTTTCAGATATCCTTCCTCCCTGACACAAACAAACGTTTAGCATGTTTGATAAACTGACTGCAGATTTGTGCAGCTTCTGGTCAAATGCAAAAATGTCTCTCCTGTTTTTAGACCTGGACTCGTACCACCTGAAGGAGCGCCTGGTGGAGAACGAGGACTTCATGTTGGTGCCGGCTGAGGCCTGGCACAAGCTGCTCGCCTGGTATGGCATGCTGGAGGGGCAGCCGCCGCTGGAGCGCAAGGTAACATGTCCCGAGCTGTCAGCCAATCAGGTGCAGAGGCTATCATTTATCTCCAAAATCAGACAAGGTGTGTTCCCGGTGTGTTTCCTCGACTTAAGACCCTTTAACTGTACTTTTTTGTGTGTGTGTGTGTCAGGTGGTGGACCTGCCCAGCACCCTGAAGGTGGAGGTGTACCCCGTTGAGATATTCCTCTGTCTCCATAGCAACATGGAGAACGTCATCACCGCCCAGTTCAGCCGCACGGACAGCATACGTGAGTTTATCTGTTTGTGTGTGTATGTGTGTGTTTGTGTGTGTTTGTGTATGTGTGTGTGTGTTTGTGTGTGTTTGTGTGTGTCTGTATGTGTTTTGTTTGTGTGTGTATGTGTTTGTTTGTGTGTGTGTGTTTGTGTGTGTGTGTGTGTGTTTGTCTGTGTGTGTTTGTGTGTAAACATCTGTTGTCCCTTACTCTCTGACACTACATGTTGGGGAAGTTGTTAACCAGCTTCACGGCTCAGGGCTGACTCACAGTGGGCGGTGTTGGAAGGAGCCGAGGTCAGATCAGTGAAGTTCCTCATTTTCTACATGAAGCTGTCGTGAAAGGGGACATTAGCCGGGTCTCCATAAACCCATTTTGATGCTAATTTTGAAGTATTGCAATAGAAGAGCTGTATGGAAACACGTGTTTGTGCTTTGATGCGTTTATGCTCACTTGAGGTGTTTTCTTTGTGTTAAAAAGTTAATTTAAGTTTTGTTTTTCCTTTTTGTGTGTCACATTTTTATTCAATGGCCAACGTTTAAGGACTTAAATGGTGTCTAGAAGAAGGGTTAATTTTCACATCTCGTGTGTGTGTGTGTGTGTGTGTGTAGACTCGATCCAGAGGGCGATGTGTGAGGCGTTCTCGGTGCCTCCGGGCTCAGAGTGCCGTCTGTGGATGAAGAGTTCGGACAGCACCTGCGAGCGCCTCAGGAACGTTCACGTGAGCGTGCTGGATGCCTGTCTGAGCTCCGCCATGGTGAGGACACACTGTTTAACATCACTTATATACACAAATATTATAATCATAAGTGTAAATTCATTCATAGAGTTCCAGGTAGATTGTTTTCACATTAGCATGAGTCGGCCTCACTCACTTCCTCATATCACCGAGCCTCCTTTACAACAATCCTCAGAGATAAGCTGGAACATGCCTGTGTGTGTGTGTGTGTTTCTGTGTGTGTGTGTCAGACGGTGATTATGGAGACGAGAAATGCCGATGGCACCTGGCCGAGCTCCAGGCCTCAAATCATGTAAGAACACACTCTGTCTCTCTCTCTTTCTTTAGTTACTACTTTTAATTTTTCTATTGTTTTTTTTATTTTTCTATTTTTCTAACTGTCTCATTTTCTCCTTCCTCATCTTATTCGGTTTGACCCCCCCCCCCCCCCCCCTCCCCCCCTCCTCCTTCTTTCTTCCTGACTGGGGAATTTCCTCGATCTACCTGTCAGACGGTCTACCCTTAACTTTCAGTTCTGTTTGCTTTATCTCCCTCGAACAAAAGCAGATTTAAAGCTTTGGTTTTTTTACCAGAAAAAAACAATGCATTTTCTTTTTGCATGAAAAAACACATCAAAGTACAATTTGACGAAAAAGATAAATAATAAATAACATTAATATTTGTGAACCGTTGATTATTGTGCATTGATTGATTGATTGAAGTGAGCTATTGCGTTTATAAAACCGTTACCAAGTGTGGCAATATGAAAAATACACACTCTAATTTAAATAGTTTTTATTAGTAAATAATGATGTTCAAAATAAAATAGTCCCTCCGTTGCCTTCTGCACGAAACATGGTTGCTATGCAACAACACTAACAGCTAGCGAACATATTAGACAGAGAGCGTTGACTGATTATTTGGCTATTTATTTACATGAATGTGTATGTTGCCGTTTATTGTGCACCCACTGAAAAACTGTCCAGCATCAGTAGCATGGCTTACGTGGTTACTTGTATAGGCTGAGGTTGTTCTAGGCTGTTGCTTGGCGTGGCGAGAATATTGCTCCACTTTCTCCGGTCCCCGAGATTCGGCTTCCAGTAGCTCTGGAGAGAGCTTTCGCACCTGTGGCCACTAACGGTCATAATTTATCTGCTTTGTTTCAAGACCCGCATCAGAAAGCTTTTGAATGGTGATACTTTTCCAGTTGGTCTACCTGCTCTTCACGTAGCTCTGCATGTCGTCGTTTAGGAGCTTTTTTAGTGCTGGAGATAGGCACTGCTCAATCCACTCCTAAGACCACCCCGGAGGTCGAAGTTAACCGTACATGTTTCCATCTTAAGCTTTGTTAGTTAGTTAGTTTCGTAACGGACGTAATGTAACAGTTGTAACGGTTGTAGCTTTTTCTCAGACGCGGAGGGATACTGACTTGTGAAAAGTTACTACAATTCTACCCGTGATATACGCTCATTATATCACGGCTAAGTACCAATCAGATTGCTTGATTTGACTTGTCCGTTTTATAACTGGTAATGTATACAGAAATTAATACATAATTGTTTTGCTCTCTGATTCTTCTTAGTTATTGTTTCAATGTGTTCCCCTGCATTAAAGGCGACACGAATTATGATTATAAAGAAAATATTAATTGCTGAATATTATGGCTGCTGAATTAATGCATTTAGATTTGCGTTCACGGTGCAATCCAAGTTTCAAATGTAGCTAAAAGCCACAAGGAGAAGTGATGCAGTCATTTGCATTTTGTGTAAATGTGCTTCTATTTGCATTAGCTGTTGGAGACAGACTACAGAGGGAGAGGGAGTCGTTCATACATCCGTTTGGCGACATTCCTGACTTGTGTTAGTGTTGATAAGTGGTCCAGTCAGGATCACAGTGTTCTGGTAACTGTCAAACAAAAAAAACATATATTTTAAATGAATTCTGCCCACTTTGCTAAGACATAAATAATGTTTCTAAAGTGAAGGAGCCTTGGGAGAAATCCTCACATACAGGCCGGATTTATCATAAAAACGAAAGATGTTGGTGCTGCATGAAGTTATCTCTCCCGGGAGTTTCAAACCTCTTATTTGATCTCAAAAACAATGCAGCTGCCTTGCCTCCTTCCCCTCCGTCTGTTTCCACGTTACAGTTCTATAAATGCCCGTCTCATTCTCTCTATGTGAATCCTTACTGTCTGCAGGAGGAACTCGGTGGAGGAGCAGGACTCGTACCGAGGACAGCCGGGGGTCTGCGGGCTCACCAACCTGGGCAACACCTGCTTCATGAACTCTGCACTCCAGGTCTCACACACACACACACACACACACACACACACACACACACACACACACACACACACACACACTAAATTCAACCCTTAGGTTAAACTGTTTTCTTTAAAAGTCAGTGATTATTTGGATTTTCGGAAATGTGTAACCTGCTGTAGTATTTAGTAGTATTTCTTCGCTGTCATTTTTCATGTTTAAAGTCCTCAGTGCACGTTGGATCTGCTCTGTGAATATTTAACACCTGCGTGGTGTCGGTGTTGCTCCTCAGGTTTCTGCTCCGTCTGCAGGAGCTCGGCTGCTCTGAGCCTCTCCGCCCAAACTCAGTCTCCTGAAACCTATTCATATTTATTCATAACCTTAATTCATCTGTGAAGTGTTTTGTCAGGTCCACTGAGCATCACTTTTAAACAGCTTCATACATTTACTATATCTTCACTTTTAGTTCTCATGTGAACTTATTTAACCTCACTCTAGGTTCTAGCTTATTAGAGGTTTTTATATCAAGTGTCCGTCATCCTATTTTAACATTGTGTGTGTGTGTGTGTGTGTGTGTGTGTGTGTGTGTGTGTGTGTGTGTGTGTGTGTGTGTGTGTGTGTGTGTGTGTGTGTGTGTGTGTGTGTGTGTGTGTGTGTGTGTGTGTGTGTGTGTGTGTGTGTGTGTGTGTGTGTGTGTGTGTGTGTGTGTGTGTGTGTGTGTGTGTGTGTGTGTGTGTGTGTGTGTGTGGTGTGTGTGTGTGTGTGTGTGTGTGTGTGTGTGTGTGTGTGTGTGTGTGTGTTGTGTGTGTGTGTGTGTGTGTGTGTGTGTGTGTGTGTGTGTGTGTGTGTGTGTGTGTGTGTGTGTGTGTGTGATTACTGAAGCCTAAAGTTATCTGAAAATGTGCAGAATGACTGTGTTTCATAGGGGCTGCACAGAATTCAGACATTGATTTAGGATTAGAAAACGTAATGATTGACACTTGGGGCTCTCCTGTCCCGCCCCCTCTAACTCCCTCTGCCTCCCCCTCTCTCTCCCTGCAGTGTCTGAGCAACACCCCCCCTCTGACGGAGTACTTCCTGCAGAGCTCCTACCTGGAGGAGCTGAACTTCACCAACCCTCTGGGCATGAAGGGAGAGATCGCCGAGGCCTACGCCGACGTCATCAAACAGATGTGGTCCGGCCGCCACTACTCCGTGGTGCCGCGCGTCTTCAAGGTACCGACACGTTGAACCCATGAGTAACGGACTACACAGAGGAGATCTCACATTATAGCATGGCAAATAGATCAAACCTGAAACATCAATATACCCCGAGGCAGAAGGTAGTCAGTCCAGTAGTCAAAAAAAGACAGGGAAGTTTATTTTCTATGAATCTGACATCAACACAACAACAAAGAAAACACTTTTCTGTGTGTTCACAGCTTGGTTGATACATTAACAGACGAGAGTCAGCTGCCTCTCTGATCTCTGATGTGTAAAATGAAACTGAGCAGGAACAGAGGAGTGAAACTGAACTCCAGACCACAGAGACTGAGCCGAGCCGACTGAGAGCTGAACACAGTATCAAGCATGTCGCTTTCTATACATCTGAAATGAAAACTAATCAGACCGTCTGTTCTTCATACTCTCAATCACTGACTGTTCTTCCCAAATGGAGTTTCCATGTTTGAGTTTCCATGTTTGCAAGCGTGACTTTGTATTTGACAAATATGCCATAAACCTATTTTAGTTTGTTTCTACTTTGAGGATAGGGAAGCAAAACTACAAAAACCTGCTGACAAAGCTCCAGTCCAGCTTCTTTACATATCAAGACATTAACATTTAGGAAAACTCCTTTAAAAATATCCTTTATTTTAACGGATTTGAACTCTGAGGGCTGTGTAAATCATTCAGAGCGTGTTAAAGAGCTACAGACTGGAGGCTTCTTGTATCCTCCTCTCTCTGTTGATATCCCAGAAGTCCAGAGGCCTGTACTACGAAGCCGGTTCAACAGACCCTGGATATGTTTGAGTTACCCGGCTTACCTAATCCAAAACAAACGCGATCTCGCTAAGCGGTCCTACGACGCTGGTTATCAACTCGTTAACTCAAGCCAGGGTTTCTCTTTCCGGCTGAGTGCGCGTTCACATAAAAGGGGCAGGGTTAGCAACATTTGACCAATCACAAACATGGAGAAGCGTACTGACAGCGCAGCGTCATACTTCCTGAATGAAAAGTCAACTATAATAATAATAATCCTTATATATATTATAGCGCTTTATCAATGACTCTCAAAGCGCTTTACAAATACACATTACACATACAGATCATACATACATGTAATGGTCATCTACTGCAAGTTCAGGTGAAGTGTCTTGCCCAAGGACACAACGGCTTTACAGACGCAGCGGCGGCGGGTTTCACCCCCTTTACTTGATCTGATAATCATTGCACAGCGCACTGCGCCACACCGCCCACTGCACACTGTCTAATATTAGACAAATATGAAGAAGTTAAACTTTAAACATCCATGACTTAAACACTTTATCCAGGATAAAAGCCACATAGCTGCACCTGCAAGGTGAATACAGCTGGTAAAAGAAAAAGTGTTTGAATGCGTACATTAACAGGTTTATGAAATCACTGCCCCGTCCAAGACACGAGTGGATCTGACTTTAATTACATTTGACTCGAGTGTTTCGTCAACTTAATGTGTTGCTTAAAATAATACTTCTGCATACAGTATGTGACACTGTGAGTGTTGCACGGCCAGATACGGCTCAAGAAGCTGACTCAGATAAGGAAATATATGATACATTATGATGTGATATGATATGAATGATAATGGGACACATCTACGTCTGCACTCACAGTGCCGCGGACTGTACTTAATGTTACTCTGATCCGGTTACTTATGTCGTGGCAGATATTTAAGTAAGCTTTCTTAACGCTAATGTTATAATAGTCAGATTGCTCTGAAGATGGGAGGGGATATTCTATTAATGTTCACGTTCACACAGTCAGTTGATTTTTGCCGGCCGTCTTTCTGTATTTCCTTTCTCCTGTAATATGACTTGATAGCTTTAAACTCCGCACACGGAGCTCTGATTGGTCAGCAGGCGGTGCTTTCACTGAGTTGATCTCTTAGCCTGCAACCTAACCTGCTCCGGACCAGGCTAGCCGTTCAGCATAAGTTACCATGGAGATCTAGCCCGCTAAGAAGTGAACCAGCGCCGTAGGACCGGAAACCCAGAGTTTTCCCTGAAGTTAGCTCGCTAAGCGAAAATCCGGCTTCGTAGTACAGGCCTCAGATTTAAAGTCTTATATCTGACAAAAACAGAAATGTGATGCATTGCCTTTCCTGTTTTATGTCCTAAACTCTGCGTGTGTGTGTGTGCGCGTGTGTGTGTGCAGACGAAGGTGGGCCACTTTGCGTCTCAGTTCCTGGGGTACCAGCAGCACGACAGCCAGGAGCTGCTGTCCTTCCTGGCGGACGGTCTGCACGAGGACCTGAACCGGGTCAAAAACAAAGAGTACATCGAGCTCCGAGACGCCGAGGGACGACCGGACCAGGTGAGCTGCTGCGACCTCAGCCACAACAAGTGATATAAAAGACTGTTAAACACCTGCACTTTTGAAAGAACATCCATAACATTCATCTGTTTGCAATTTATATATATCAATATTCCAATTACTTGTATATAGATTATTCTGCACTATTTCTATTATATTATATTTTATTTACTTGCACTATTCTCAGTTTTATTGTGTTGCACTGTTGGAGGAGCCTGTGACCTAAGATGTTCATTGTCATAACTACACTGTACACATGATAATAAAAGCCTTGAAACCTTGAAATGATGTTCTTCTCATACTTCCTGTCTCCCCTTCCTCTCCCACAGGAAGTGGCGGAGGAGGCGTGGCGTAACCACCGCCGGCGGAACGACTCGGTGATCGTCGACACGTTTCACGGCCTCTTCAAGTCCACGCTCGTCTGTCCAGAGTGCCACAAAGTCTCCGTGACCTTTGACCCCTTCTGCTACCTGAGCGTCCCACTTCCTGTCAGCAAGGAGCGCGTCATGGAGGTCTTCTTCGTCTCTCTGGACCCCTACGCCAAACCTGCACAGGTGACGATTTCTACCTAATAATTGACTGTCATGACACTTTTGCAGATGAGCTGAATGATTTCTCTGAAAAAAGATCTGACCTGTGTTACATGTCTTTAACAATTTTCCAACCTAGAGAACAATTTAAAATGTAAGATGAGTTTCATTGTGTTACTACAGCAATGGTGACACTATTTTTAAAAATGTTTTCTTGTCTTTTTGTGTACAGCATCGTGTTGTGGTTCCTAAGACAGGAAAAGTGTCTGACCTCTGCACTGCCCTGTCCCGAGATGAACCAGCGTACCTCCTACACAGGTGTGTGTGTGTTGTGTGTGTGTGTGTGTGTGTGTGGTGTGTGTGTGTGTGTGTGTGTGTGTGTGTGTGGTGTGTGTGTGGTGTGTGTGTGTGTGTGTGTGTGTGTGTGTGTGTGTGTGTGTGTGTGGTGTGTGTGTGTGTGTGTGTGTGTGTGTGTGTGTGTGTGTGTGTGTGTGTGTGTGTGTGTGTGTGTGTGTGTGTGTGTGTGTGTGTGTGTGTGTGTGTGTGTGTGTGTGTGTGTGTGTGTGTGTGTGTGTGTGTGTGTGTGTGTGTGTGTGTGTGTGTGTGTGTGTGTGTGTGTGTGTGTGTGTGTGTGTGTGTGTGTGTGTGTGTGTGTGTGTGTGTGTGTGTGTGTGTGTGTGTGTGTGTGTGTGTGTGTGGGGTCCAGAGTTGCATTGCATTTCTAGCTTAACCTAATGTGTGTGTGTTCATGTTTAAGAGTTAGTTGTGTAACCTGTTTTCTAACCCCGTTGTTCAGATGGTGGTCGCTGATGTGTTCAACCACCGTTTCTACAAGATCTACAACACCGATGAGTCTCTGAGCTGCATTCTGGACCGAGACGACATCTTTGTGTAAGAGCATCACAAACACTGTCAACTATTTTTAGCTTAGTGTATTTGAGACATCAGACATCACAGCAGTCTTATAATGGTTACATACATGTATGCAAAAGGTTGAGATGCAACACTTGTCAGGACAGGACGCTTTAAAAAAACGTCAACTTAAAAGTAAGAGAGTTATTCCACAAAAATACCATTTTAAAAACATACACATAAATGCATCTTTGAATGCATACACAAAATACATGAGGACCAAATCATGCAGAGTTCTTCAGAGGCATTCTCTTACGAAACCACGCTGTTTTTTGATGTAAATGCCCCCTGGTGATGCGTTCAGGTACGAGCTGAGCGAGCTGGAGGAGCACCAGGAGGAGCAGGTGTTGCTGGCGCTCTACCTGAGGGAGCGCTCTCACTACAGAGACTACGGCTCCGGCAGCAGCTCGTACGGCACCTCGCTGTTCGGACACCCGCTGCTGCTCAGCGTGCCGAGAGGCTGCTGCAGCCGAGAGGAGCTCTACACTCTGTTCCTACAGAGGCTGGCGTGAGTGAAACACACACACACACACACTGAACTCACACATACACACACACAGGCATGCACACACACACTGAACACAGTCTGCATTACATTGATATACTATAAACATACCTTACTTTATTTTACTTACTTTACTTTAAAGGTAGGGTAGGTAATTCACTTCAGAAACACTTGTTATATTCCATGGAATGCTCTTAACATCCCGATAGCAATGAATACATGAAATGCTTTGACAATAAATACATAAAAATATTTCATCTGTGGAAGCCGTAGTACTGTAAAAAGCACGACCAATCATCTGAGCCGGCCCGGCTAAAATAACTGGATGTCCTACCTGCCTGTCAGCCTTCCATCTCGTGCACAAACTTATCTCGTGCCCTCATTGGTCATGTGCGCGTTCGTGTGTGTTGGAGGAGGGGCTCTGTAAGGAAGTCTGAAGGAAGGGGCAGATTTTTTTTCGGCTGCGAGCTTTCAAATTCTAGCGCACTCGAGCTGGTTTCTCCATTCTTACCTACCCTACCTTTAACTGATTTTGTATAGTTTTACCAAATATATGGTTTCATGACATACTTTGATCGTTTTATGATTTTTTTTTCTCTCTATGATTTTCTCATATTTTGTACATACTGTTCTCTGGCTTCCCTGATACATTTCGACATATTGTAGCAAGACTTTTTTTATTAGAATTGTAAACAGATTACTTATGTGCTTGTGTGTCTGTGCAGGCGTTATGTGCGTCCTCCTGATCCCTCTGAGGAGTTGGAGGAAGAGGAGGAAGAGGAGCTGTACAAGACTCAGACCAATGGGATCAGTGACGGTAGGGTTTTCTCCTCCATCTACGTTATTAAAAATAACAATAAAAATAAGGTTTAAAATGAGAGATTACAACGTGCAAGCAACACAAACCGGTTGAGTAAAGAAAAAAGTAAAGTTTTAAAAGGACAGACACTGATAGTAAACAGTTTAGAAAGGTTTTAACCTCAAGTGCAAATGTACAAACACATCTCATTCGTCACATTACAAATAATTCCTTACACAGCTTTGATTTATTTAATTAGCCTCCAATTTCTTCGAGTCGATCTAAAGCAAATCAGACAGTTTATAACTTTTCAGATAAAGAATTTTGTCTGTTCTTTATTTATTTAACAGTTTTTCGACAATGAAATAATTAGCTTCTACTGGATTGATCAGCTGTGTTTGATCTTCAGTGTAGTTTCAGTCTGACTGGTTCTGTGCTGTTTCTTCAGAGGAGGAGCAGGATGACGGAGAGAAAGCCGGACCCTCTCAGACCCGAACCTCAGAACCCAGCTCTGGTGATGCACCGGCAAACAGCCAATCAGACGACACCACCACCACCACCGAGCCCCGCCCCCTTGCCAACCACACGCAGCCCCCCCCGGCCCAGGGCGACTCGGAGACTAACGGACCCCCGGACCAGAGTGAGCCCGGCTGCAGCTCTGAGACTAACACCCCCCCCCCCCACTGAGGGAGAGAAACCCTGCGAGGAAGAGAGCAAGACCTCCGACAGCAGCTCAGAGCCTCCAGCCCAGCAGCCATGTGAGACCACAGAAGAAGAAAAAGAGGAAGACAAGCAGGAGGAGGCGTGTTCTCCCAGCCCTCCAGCCAATGAGCAGCCAGGGAAGAGGAAGGCGTGCTGTAAGAGGAGGAAGAGTCTGTTCACCATCCAGGCGGTCAACTCCAACGGGACGACCGAGAGAGGGATGGGAGAGGGGGGGAGCGCCGTGTCCTTCAGCTGTGAGTGGGAACACACTCACTCACTCACTCACTCACTCACTCACTCACTCACTCACTCACTCACTCACTCACTCACTCACTCACTCACTCACTCACTCACTCACTCACTCACTCACTCACTCTCTCTCTCTCTCACACACTCACACACTCACTCACTCACTCACTCAACCTCACACACACTCACACCATCACCACACACTCACACACTCACACACACTCTCTCTCTCTCTCTCTCTCTCTCTCTCTCTCTCTCCTCTCTCTCTCTCTCTCTCTCTCTCTCTCTCTCTCTCTCTCTCTCTCTCTCTCTCTCTCTCTCTCTCTCTCTCTCTCTCACACACACACTCACACACTCACTCATTTGTAATAATAACAATATTTTTTTTCTGTTTTAACTTTTTTGGTCATTATTCTTGCAGCCCAATGAAACAAAGAACACACTCTGACTTAAAAAACAAGATGCCTAAAACCAATAATAATATGTGGGAATAGTTTATTTCCTTCTTTACTTTCAAATACATCAAAGTTGCATTAAATAAACTCTTATTTTGGATTCATTTTCCAAAAAAAAGGACAAAATATATATTTTAAACGACTGAAACACTTGTTGCCTTGAGAAGCTTTTAGTGCCTGGATTTTAAGCAATTCAGGCTGGATTGCATCAGCACCATACTCTACTGTGTTTTATTAATAAAACCAGATTTTTATACATTGCTTTAAATGTTCTTTGTGCAGCTCAGCCCTACGTGGCCATCGACTGGGACCCTGAGATGAAGAAGAGATTCTACAACGAAAACGAGGCCGAGGTCAGTGTGAACATGAGTCATAGTATAGTGTTGAACTTTTTTTTTTTTATTGAGTCAGGCACAATGAGTTACATTTATACGGTCTATATTTCAGTGTCAGTGTTGAACATTTTGGGAGAAAAGTCATAGTACAGTATGATGAAAAAAAAACGTAATTGTCATAGTATGTAAAACAATGTTGTGCTCACCTCTCTCCTCCTGCCTTCCTTCTCTCTCCTCCTGCCTTCTCTCTCCTCCTGCCTTCCTTCTCTCTCCTCCTGCCTTCTCTCTCCTGCCTTCTCTCCTTCTTCCTCCTTCTCTCTCCTCCTGCCTTCTCTCTCCTGCCTTCTCTCTCCTCCCTTCCTTCCTCTCTCTCTGCCTCCTCTTCTCTCTCCTCCTGCCTTCTCTCTCCTGCCTTCTCTCTCCTCCTGCCTTCCTTTCTCCTCCTGCCTTCTCTCTCCTCCTTCCTTCCTTCTCTCTCCTTCCTTCTCTCTCCTCCTTCCTTCTCTCTCTCCTCCTTCCTTCCATCTCTCTCCTCCTTCCTTCCTTCTCTCTCCTCCCTTCTCTCTCTCCTGTCTGTGCAGAAGTACGTGAAACACGGCAGTATGGAGGTTCCTCAGCAGCAGACCACTGTCCAGCTGCAGGAGTGCATCGAGCTGTTCACCACCATGGAAACACTGGAGGAGGAGAACCCATGGTAACACACATACACACACACACACACCTTTCTCAACATATTCAGCACCTTTTTACACGCAATTAGCAACTCCACTTTGCAAAACCAGACCATCATTTTATAGAGAATTTGAAGAAATGAAATGCTTTGAGTCAAAGTCGTCTTCAGCTTTGTTCATGATGCATTTTGTCTGTGTGTGTGTGTTCAGGTACTGTCCGGTGTGTAAGAAGCACCAGCTGGCCACGAAGAAGCTGGACCTCTGGTTCCTGCCCGAGGTTCTCATCATCCACCTGAAGAGGTTCTCCTACACCAAGTTCACCAGAGAGAAGCTGGACAGCATCGTGGACTTCCCCCTGAGGTGCACACACACACACACACACACACACACACACACACTCACACTCACACTCACACTCACACTCACACTCACTCTCACACACTCTCACACACACACTCTAACACACTCTAACGAATCTGTCTGTGTGTTGCAGAGAGCTGGACTTCTCCGGCTGCCTCCTGAGGAAGAGTCAGTCCAATGGGGAGCCTCCGAGCCGCTACGACCTCATCGCTGTGTCCAATCACTACGGAGGACTCAGAGACGGCCATTGTACGTCCCTATTGGTCTTTTCTTTTCAAGTGGTCATGTTCAAGGCTTTATTTGTCACATTTAACTGACCTGTACACTTCTTATCGTGTGTGTTCCTTCAGACACCAGCTACGCGCGGAACAAAGACAACGGTCAGTGGTATTACTTTGACGACAGCAAGGTGACGTACGCCAGAGAGGATCAAATCGTGGTGAGTACGAGACCCAGCGCTGTAAAGCATCCTGTGCGCCTTTCAGACATTCCCTTTATTCTGATGTCAGTATGATGTGATTACATCGCTGCCCAATTAGAGACACTTTTTAAAAAAGAATTTTCAGGAATATAGGATCCAGGTTGAAAACCACCTGTTATGCAAAATCCACTTCTTCATGTCTCTTCTACATCAACATGTGTCCCCTCTTCTTCATGTCTCTTCTACATCAACATGTGTCCCCTCTGTGGAAAGAGACTCTGAAAGTTTCAGGAACAAAGATTCTCTCTCTTTTTGTCCTGATCCATTTATATAAAAACCTGTCTGAAAATGAGCTGATCAGATTTTGGCCACTTTGTGATGTCATAACGATTTGTTGGCTTGTGTAACCATTAGCCAATCACCAACCAAGGTAACACCCCCCCCCCCACCCACCTTATCACCTGAATCTCCTCCTAGAGCACCATTGTGTTCTTTGTAACCAAATATCTCTCAGAGGGGCGTGGGGAGGGGCTCCTTATTTTCCTCTAAAGTAACAGACAGAGAATCAGCACTTTGGAAACAGGGCTGAAACAGAGGGGATTATGGGATGCTGCAATGATCTGTTGGGTGTTTCGAGGCAAACACTTCAGAGACATGTTTTGTATATATCTGAGACCTGTAACATATTGATGGAAAACAGTATAATAGGGGACCTTTAAGTTACTCGTAAGGCAGATGTAAAGTCTAACCTGGATTAATTCGTTGTTTCCTGTCGTTCAGACCAACGCTGCTTACGTCTTGTTCTACCAGCGGCAAGACAAGATCAGAAAACCCACTCTGCCCGCCCCCAACACAAGCCCCGCCTCCTCCAGCCAGCCCGCCAACGACATCACTTCCTGTAAGGACGATGACATCACTCCCTGTAAGGAAGACGACGCAGAGCTCGGCGCCGCCGCTGCCGCCGCCTCCTCCTCCTCCTACGTCACCATGGAAACAGACTAAATTAATCCTCAAGGTTTAGTTTCATTTTTACAGTAATAAGGTTTTTTGTTTTTTTTCAGAACAGGCCTGTGATTGATTTTTCTTTCCAACAACACTTGAATTTTCTCTGATTCCCCCCCCCCCCCCCCAAGATGGACACTTGGTACTCGGGTAGGTTTGAGACGTACTCTTTATTGGTGATCAGGTCTTTAGGTCTTTGTTTATGAAACCTGGAAGAACTACAGACTTTTACAGTGTTTCATTATAATCACATTAAATGACTCATTATACAAGTACAGAAAAATCTAAATAAGACCTTTCAACTTCCCACTTCATAATTTGATCTCTTGATACTGTCTCAAAAATAAAGAAATGTAGACGTCATCATTGGTTCCTCATTTAAAAACATAATTTTAATCTAATTTTAGGTATTTTTTAAACTGTTAATACTTGTAGAGATTATAATAAACACTGTAGAAGTCTATCAGTATTCAAGTGCACACACCAGGTTCCTTATTTGATGAGAAAAGCTTAAGGATTGCAGTTAAATATCTATTATTAGTTAGTTGCATTAAAGAGCCTAACACTTGTGAAGTTTCTAGAAGTTAGTCTGATTCTGCAATTACAAATATAGTTTCCTTAAAGATGACACAATTTTACAACACAATCAAATATTCAATACACCAGTTATATTCATAAGATAACTGTCGGCAGACGTCTTCAATATTTTCTTGTTATGTTCTTTAAATAAAAGCAGATTAGTTGTCGATAGTTTATTGTACTCACCGGCTGAAACTCATTAAAGGAGCTGGGGATTCTGGGTAATAAGTGTGTAATTATAGCAGAGAAAAATAATTTAATATTGAACAAAGCTGCCGGGGACGAGGAATGAATCTTTCTGTGTATATGTTGGTTGTTTTCTTCTGGTATTTATTATTTCTGAGTAATTTCCGCTGTCACATGACTACAGGTGTTTTCTGATTGGAGCTGGTCGACGGGTTGCAGGACATTGAGATGCTTATTTTTCATATTTATAGGCGACATTTGTATTCAGGCTTAAATGTATCGGACAGAATGACAGGCAGTCTTCTCTCTCTGGAGCTCTCACTGATTTTCAAACCGGCTCTGTGTACAGTATTTTTGTATTGTAAGAAATGTATAATTATTATTATTACCATTCCTGGTCGGGCGGAGGGAAGCGCGGGCTCATTTCTTTCTTTGGTCTTCCTGTCAATATCAGATGAAAATATTTTATTGTACTTTCAATCTTTTGATATGAATAAAAGGATGATTATTATCAGGATGAGTGATGTTTATCCTGTTTCCTCCACACCCTGTTGTGTGTTTCAGTCATTTCTCTGACATAATGTGTCCCTAAGTTCAAGTATTCTATACTATATATATATATATATAGGCCTAAGCCAGGGGTGTCAAAGTCATTGTGTGTGTGTATGTGGCCCGCAACAGCTCGCAAAGAATATAAACAGTTTATTATACGGTTACATGCCGCTTAACAGAAGCATGTTGGCTTCTGTTAAGTGCCAAAAACGACATGTCCCACAATGCATGGCGTTCTGTGACATGCGACTTCATATCAGCCCTAGCAGCAGCTCTGAGTGAGGTCAGTGACACAGAGCTGAAGGAACAGAAGTTACAGCGGCTCAAAGACCAAAGACACCAGACCCGGAGCCAGAGGATAAAAGTACACATCCTTTACTCAAGTAGAAGTACAGATACTCGTGTTTAAAAATACTCTGGTGAAAGTACTGACTAAACTTCTTTACTCAAGTAAAAGTAAAGAGGGCTTTGAAATGTACTTAAGTAAAAAGTACCCATAACTAGCAGCTGTTTTAAAGAGTACCTGACCTCCCTTTATATTAATAGAACAATAATGTCATTGTTAGCTAATGAATGTTTCCATGCTGAACAACGGCAACATGACAACGTTTTCATTGGTCCCTCTTCTTTAGAGAAGACCAGGAAATGATGGATACACGCAGGGCCGGTTCTAACCAATTTGCTGCCCTAGGCGAGATTTGAGCTGTACCGGGTCCTCTGTGAATTAATAGCTGGACCACCAATCAGCTCCTGTCTTCACAGAGACGAGCTATCCCTAACAATGTAGTACATTGTTTCAAATACAAAACAAAACAAAACATTTGAGTGTTTACATATTGGTTCAATAGTTTCCGAACAGTTTTTAGAAAATCTACTGAATATTAAAAATCCAACAAGTCCTCCAACTCATACGACCAAATAGGTCGATTGTTCAGCAGCTTATTACGACCTATAGTCACGTTTTAAAGTTTAGCACCTCTACTGGTCGTGTAAGAAACAACAATTTGCGGCAATTGCAAACGCTCCGGAGGGTCGTATATTCACAAATAACCCTCTCTGGAAAATCCTAAATTGTAGAATAGTTTGGCCATTAAGGATCTATAGTTTGAGAGATATTACGAAGATTATTTGAGGTCTGCCTCCCCACGCCCCTCTGAGAGATATTTGGTTAAAAAGAACACAATGGTGCTCTAGGAGGAGATTCAGGTGATAAGGTGGGGGGGGGGGGGTTACCTTGGTTGGTGATTGGCTAATGGTTACACAAGCAAACAAATCATTATGACATAAAGTGGCCAAAATCTGATCAGCTCATTTACAGACAGGTTTTTATAGAAATGGATCAGGACAAAAAGAGAGAGAATCTTTTTTCCTGAAACTTTCAGAGTCTCTTTACACAGAGGGGACACATGTTGATGTAGAAGAGACATGAAGAAGATGGGACACATGTTGATGTAGAAGAGACATGAAGAAGAGGGGACACATGTTGATGTAGAAGAGACATGAAGAAGAGGGGACACATGTTGATGTAGAAGAGACATGAAGAATAGGGGACACATGTTGATGTAGAAGAGACATGAAGAAGAGGGGACACATGTTGATGTAGAAGAGACATGAAGAAGAGGGGACACATGTTGATGTAGAAGAGACATGAAGAAGAGGGGACACATGTTGATGTAGAAGAGACATGAAGAAGAGGGGACACATGTTGATGTAGAAGAGACATGAAGAAGAGGGGACACATGTTGATGAAGAAGAGACATGAAGAAGAGGGGACACATGTTGATGTAGAAGAGACATGAAGAAGTGGATTTTGTATAACAGGTGTCCTTTAATTGGCAGCCAGTGAAGGAATGGAGGAGAGGAGTAGTGGGAGAACTGGATGGAGGTTGAAGACCAGTCCTGCTGCAGCATTCTGAATTAGCTGTAGCATTCTGATGGTGTTTGACAACTCTCTGTATTTTAGACCAATCACGACCAAGCCAAGTTTCAACAGACTCTACTATTTCTAACTTGTTTTCAGTCTGAAGAAACCTCTGTTCTTGGGAAACTGATTTAATCAGAAATGTTAGTTTGTTTATTATTTGACAGCATTGTAACATCTGTTTGCTCTTTTCTCATTAAATGTGATTGTTGCTGCTTTAACCTGTTCCACTCTGAGCCTGTTTTTCAGGTCTCAGGCTCGAAAATGACATTCCCAGAACAAATGACCATATCTTCCCTTCTAAAAGGGTTAAATTAATAATCTTTTTTCTCAAAGTAATGATAAACCTGTGAGTTGGATGTAGAAGTGTCAGAATCAATATAAATGTTTTTTATTTTAAAGAAAATTCAGATTTTACATAGTAAAAAACTGTAAATTATAGTGTCCGTCCAAAAATTATTTTTTACAGATAGTGAAAACTACCCTTGGATGATGGGTTAGTAGACTAAAAGCTTTAGGAATCCAAAGTACAACATATAATAAGTACCCTGTATCAAGATTGATGCAAAACAAGTGAAATTTGACCTTTTTAGAGAGATTTAGCCAAAAACTGGGCCATCTGGGGTCATTTGGGTGGATTTGACCTATCTCTGGCCCCCCTTGCTCGATTTGGTTGGTTGACATACCCTTGTGACCGTTAGAGCCAATAGAATCGAAGGGGGAGGACAACACCCACACAAGTTGTAAAGAAAAAATGTGGGCGCTTCGCGTGTGGAAAACGAAACCAAAGTGGAGGAATGTCTCCTTCTGGAGTTTGGAAACTAAAACGCAGTTGTATTGCTTATGGATTATCAGAAATAATTTCAAAGAAGGCACAGACACATAGGATGAACCTATGGATTAACTGCAGCATCGTTTTTTTATCGTTTTAATGCCATTGAAGACCACTTTTGACCAAGGTAAGATATATTTACGTGTTTAGCTTCTTAGCTCCACATGTGATGATGTACGCTTTCGTTGATAGCATCGCGAATGTTTATCACTGAGTGTTGAGGTGGGCACCGGTAGATTCAGTGTCTCCAGGACACCAAAAACGAGTGGTTGGCTGTGCATCTAGGATAAGTAATAAGGGAGTTATGAGTGAGTTTAAGTGCCTTTGTAGGTCCCGTTTTTTCGATCGAGGCTAATTCAGAGGCTGAGTGCTAGCATTGTGGGTTTTTTTAAAAAAAAAAAATTAAAAAGATCAGTTAGCTGAGTTTCTTCCCGTTACATGGATATAACACATTCATAGTTTTATTCAATATTAAGATTCCTTAGACGTTGTTTCCTGCAAATGACGCGTTTATCCGCCCGGTACCGGGGGGAAGGTGTGAAACAGGTTAATAATCTGAGTGATATCATTATTAATATGAATGCACAACTCATTGTAACATACATGTTTTTATATATTCAAGTAGTGCACACATTACTTTATCTACACCAATATATATTTTACTTTACTATATATTATTTTTTTGTATTACACATTTTAGCTGAATACTCAATTCTGATTGGTCAAATTAGAAGTTTAAGAGGTTGTTAATACTCAATAACACACCGCTGCCAAGAAATCAGTATTTTAGATTGAGATTAAATCCTTTATTGTTTATAAACGTGTGCATTTGATAATCCACGCTGAACAGCAATGGGTCGTCCTCTCTGTTTAGACTCCTCCTGGGAAAACTGTGTTTAACATTTACTCTGTATTTAAATACTTAGAAATCTCTTTAAAACATGTATTTTATTCCCTGACGAAGAGGTCTGTCAGGGAGTTCATTTAAACCCAGTAACTCTGTATGTTTCATATTATTATACAAGTTTAAAATGTAAAAATGGCATGTAATAAAACTCTGATTTCAACGTTTTAAAAACAATATTGTCTGGACTGGAAATTAAAATGCATTTTATTTTGGATCTGAGAAATGATTCGCTGCTCAAACTTGCAGTTGGATTAAACATTATTTATTTATTTTCCCATCATGCACAAATCACAAATGAACAATTTATAACAACATAGTTTCAATAAAACAGAGAAGGTTAAACTAGAACCTGACATAAAGATCTGCATCTGGGTGAGATCATTTAAAATGTGAAGAATATATATATCTTATTTCCTCTAAAGCAGGGCTCTCCAACACGTCGATTGCGAGCTACCGGTAGCTCGCGGGCAGCTTTTCAGTAGCTCGCCGCTCGATTATCGATTATAGCGCAGTAAGGTTGCTTATTGATTTTTCGGCCGCGGCTGGACAATAACGTTTTTTTATTTTAGAATTTTTTCTGTCACACGAATATCAAATGGTCGGTGACGCAGAGATCAAGGAACAGACGTGACAGCAGCACAGCGACAACACACACGGAGCAGTCTGCTTTCTCCACCAGCACCAGTCCAGAACCAACAGCAGAATGACCCGCTCTGAATCAGGCCCTGTCGCTGCGCCTCAGAGACACACAGGGAGGGATTTGTGTTTTTTGAAAAACACTCGTTATCGTCATGTCAGGTTTTTGGTGGATTTAATCAAGTCTTGGATTGCAGAGTATGAATGTCCTCTTGCTATTTTCAGTTGATAAATACTTGTGTAAAGTTTGTGAAGGCAGGAGGAAAGCTTCCGCGATCACCGTCTCCTCTGTTCCTCCAAACCCCGCCCCCTCCCTGAAAATAATGAGTGACAGGCTGATAGTGACCCGATAGAAACTTTATTATTCACTTAATCACTGATTGAGATATAATGAAGCTAACTTAATCTCATACATTCATGGGATTTATGTAACCGTAAGACAGAGAATGTAAGTGTGCACCCACATGCACTATTTTTGTTTTTATAATGCTGTTGTAAATACTCCTGTTGTCTGATGTGTTCAGACTTAAGTCATGTGTGTGATGCCACATTCAAGACATTCAGTGTCCTTTTTTTTTTAACAGAAGACCGTAGCTAGAAGCTGCAGCTAGACTGCAGAAGTATTAGTTTTTTGTTTTTGAGGATGGAACCATTTTCACACACAGATATAGGGAGGCTAGACCTATACAATTGATTTATTATGGTTTATAATTCAATGTCAAGACGAAGAAGAAGAAGAAAAATATGGCTGAACAACTGTTCAGTGTCAATCCTGTGGAGGTGGAGGTTATAAATCTCCAAAATAATGTTCAGCTTAAGTCTCAGCAAAACTCACAACATTTCTGGAGCTTTGTAGACCCAGAAAACTATAGAACATTCACCAAGCAGCACTGAAAATGTCTGCTTTATTTGGTTCTGTTCTACATACCTTTGTGAAGCAGCTTTTTCTGACATGAATGTCATGAAATCTAAATACAGAACAATACTGACTGATGAACATTTAAATGACTCTATTAAGTGAACCTAAGTGGGTCCAGCATACACCTCTATGGTGGACTGCATGCAGTGCCATTCATCTCACTAACAAAAGAGTGAAATGCTTGTAAGGTGGTGATTAAGGACATTTATGTGCATTTTCAGTGATGTACTTATTATGTGGGCCATAATAATATGTGAGAAATCTTCGTTTTCTTGGACCTTGATGTGAAGTTAAGATTTTTGATAAGCTTTAGGTATTGCAATTTCACACGTGTACAAAAGTATAGCTTAATTCAACTGATGAGGGCTATGTGAATAAATGTAAGCGATGTGATGCAAGTAGCTCTTGGCCACTTTCATTTTTTGAAAGTAGCTCTCAGATGAAGAAAGGTTGGAGACCCCTGCTCTAAAGGAAGCAGTTCAGCATATTTGATGTACATTATGTCACTTGGATAACAGTGTCAGCTAAATGCACGTGTTTCAATTTAATAAAGGTTGACAGTATGATCAAAAAGCAGATTATCAAACTCTATAACAACAAAAACATTAGTGAAACAAAAATAAACACATGTTTGGAATAAAGAGACCGCAGAGGTCAGTGTATTCTCCCTTTGAGACAGGCATGTCCAAAGTCCAGCCCTCTGAACTGTAAAGACTCTTTTATTCACACACTGATCTCACACGTCTTGTTTTTCCTCATGAAATATATCTGACCAAAATGGAAATTGACGTGTGATTTATTTCGTTTTGAATTGGGTGATGGAGGAGTTAATTAATTTGTGTTTGGTTCGACTGAACAATTTCTGTTGAATATTTTAGATTATTATTTGTCCGACCTGATTCTGACACACCACCTTGATCTCTGCTCCACTGTCACACACACCTTCAGCGGTAATATCTTCACTTCCTCCTCAGTGTGAATGAATGGAAACATCTTCTGAGTGAAAGTGTGTGTGAAGGTGTGTATGTCAGAGTTCCCGTTAGCCGGTAATTACCGGACAATGACCGGTAAAATAAGCTGAAGTCCGGCAAATCTAAATCTCTCCGGTCAAAATGTCCGGTCAAAATAATTTTCCCTTAGCGCAATACCGCATCAGTTGCGCCACTTATGTGACAGACAAGAATAGTATGTGACAGACAAAAGAGTATGTGACAGACAAAAATTGTCAATTCTAATGTCTAACACTTAATGTGGAGAAAGAGATGTCCTGTATGGGTTGATTGTGCGTTGATCTGTTGGTAATGCCTCGGGGTTCCGGTGGGCATGTAAACAAATGCATAATGCTGCGCTATACTTTGTGGCCTCATCCGGTTGCATAGCGACGCTTATTGTTTAGGTGTCTTTTAACAAGCAGGTAGTCATATCATTAGCTAGAACTAGCTAGATCTGATCGATATGGACATAAATGCGAGTAAAGTCTAATCTGACAGGAGAGAGAGATCGGCTGCTGCTGACGAGTCGACACGCAGCTCTGCATGATCCCCTGCAGCGGCGAGCAGAGCAAAACACACTTCAGGTTAGAAAATCACACGTAGCTATTTTAATTACCTCTCAAACTACCTAAACTAGTTATAGATATGTTTAGTTTTACTGTCGGGTCACTCATTACTGGATCCGCGAGCTGCATGATACTGACGGGCTGTCAGGAGAAGGAGAGAGCGCTCCGTTTATTATTCCCGCGTTTTTGTAAATTACTGTACACTTTTGAATAATGTAGTTAATCTACTATAATTAGTTTGTTTAATGTCGAATCATATCAATTTGTTTTAAAGCTCAATAAATAACAAAGAAGACCTTTAACCGGCACTTATCTAATTTTGTCCGGAAGATTTCAACTTTAACGGACATGTTGACCGGCAAAAAAATATTCTAACGGGAACTCTGGTGTATGTGTGTGTTAGTGTCAGGATCAGAGAACGACAACTCACCTCTGTTCCAGTCCAGATTCACTCGGACCCTCTGGAGCTCCTTCTGCAGGCTGAGAGGAGCGTCTGGATCTGGAGGTGAACATGCGGAGTATTTACCTTCATCGAAAGCTATTCCCCATGATCCAGACCGTATGTCTCCCTTCCTCTGGACAGACTCTGCCAACACACCCAGTAACCAGAATGTACTGTCTGTGACCTGGACATCCCAGCTGTGAGCCCCTGAGGTAAAGCCCTCAGAGCCCAGGACACGGATGTGATGATCAAACCTCTCTGGATTTTCAGGAAGTTCCTGTTCTTCCTCTTGCTCTTCTTCCTCTTCCTCCTCCCAATCCTCTTCCTCTTCTTGTTCTTCTTCCTCCTCTTCCTCTTCTTCCTCCTCTTCCTCCTCTCTTCCTTGTCTCACAGAGGTCAGATCTTCAGACAGGATGAGTCTTGGATGAGCAGTGTTTGGGTCCAGGATGAGAGGACAGTAGGACACCATGTCCTTCATCTTGCTCCAGATGTTGAAGCTGAGGTTGCCCAGGTGTTTGGCCTGGTCTATCAGAGCTCCTGAGGGCAGCTGTGGATCCTCCAGCAGGGGGCGCTGCAGCCTCTCCACTGCAGCCTTGTAGTTGAGCAGGAAGGAGACGTCTTCAGCTCTCAGCTCCTCCTCTGTGGCTCTGACTGTGTGTGAAAGAGCTGCCAACTCTCTGCTCAGAGCCTCCATCTTCTCCTCCATCATCCTCCTCTTCTGCTCCTCTTCCTCCCTCAGTGCAGCCATCCTGGCCTCCTCTTCCTCTTCTAGAAACTGGTGAAGCTTCTTGAACTGCTCCTTAATCTGCGTCTCTGTGTGTTGAGCCTGGACCTTCAGGTGTCCTGCTGTTAGATCAAACTTCACTTTAACTTCTTCAAAGAGCTTCAGTTTCTTCTTTAAGGGCTGCAGAGACTTCTGGAGCTCCTCTCTGAGACCCTTTGCAGCTTCATCCATGGGTCTGATTCTGTGGTTGGTGTGTGTTTTTGAATCTCTGCAGACGAGACACACTGGCTGCTGATGGTCCAGACAGAAGAGTCGGAGTTTCAAAGAGTGCAGACTGCAGAGAGCCTCTGGAGGTCTCTGATCTCTCTCCAGTAAGAAGGTCTCACTCAGGTTCTTTAAAGCCAGGTTACAGGGAGGTTTTCCTCTTGAAGATTTTCTCTTACAAACGGGACACTCCTTTACTTCTTTCCCATCCCACCAGGTCTGCAGACAGGCTTTACAGAAGCTGTGGCTACAGGACAGAAGAACAGGATCTCTAAAGACGTCCTTACAGACCGGACAGCAGAGATCTTCCTCTAACCTGGAAGCCATGTTGTCTCTGAGTGAAGCTGAAACACAGCAGACAGGAATTAGTCAGTCATGGCTCCCATCCCCCTCCTCTACTGACTTCACTAACATTCTCTATTGCCCCTTTCACACCGGCGCTTTTCCAGCACCGGCTCGGAGCTGGAGCTGGAAAAGCGCCGGTTTTTCCTGTTCACACCGCAGCGGCGCCGCGTCATAGCTCCGGAATGCAGTTCACTTCCAGCTCCAAAAAATTGTCGGTCTAGAGGCAAGAGCTTCGGAGCTAGAGGCGGCGTTGCTTACGTCTCTCTTACGTCGAGGCGTGCAGGAAACTAAACCCACCTCCCCTGAACATGGGTCGACTGAAGAGTCTCGTCATGCCTGCCTACAAGCAGTAGCGCTGAGCAAAGTGACTAGAAGGCAACCACACACTTATAAAAAAAAAACACACTTTATAAAGTCAGGCAACACTAACCAGGCTTCGTGTGATTCTGTTTATTTGTACCTTACTTTGACCATCCGTTCGCTGTTATTGATCATTGTGGAGAGCAGGCAGACGTTTTGTTTGTTATTATAGCAGCTATCGGATGGAATCAATACATGGGCTGCACAGGTTGTCATGTCCGACTATCACAAGTAGAATCATAATGAAAAATACGCCGGTAAAATGTGCCTGTAGAAAACTGCTTAGCAAGTAGTCAGTTTAGCTTCGGTTGCTATGCTAACATCACCCATGTTATACCAGAGAAACTTTCATAACAGCGTTGTGATGCCAAACAGCGTCAATTCAGACTGACACACATTCACTTACGGGCCGTCTCCACGGCAGCGTTAAAAAATCTTGAAACGCTTCTGCCCATTCACTTTGAATGGGGTGACGTCACTTTTTTTCGCTTTCGCCGAAATGCATTGTGGGCAGGCGAGCGGAGATTCTCAGGATTTTCAAGATCCAAAGTTGAACAATGTTCAACTTTTGAAGCTGAGGAGGAAGCGTCAGCCAATCAAATCCCGTGTACGCAAATCTGACAGTTCAAGCTCTAGCCAATCAAACGGCGTGTATGCTGGGAGAGACATACCGCAGGTCATTTCCTCATATTCCAAAAAATGGAGGAGAAATTAGCGGTAGCGAATCAATCACCCGGTGATTTATGACCAGACCTACCGGGATATAAACCGGAGGAGCCAGGCATGGAGGGAGGTGGCAGAGACAGTGGTATGTTTTCGCCTGTTTTGGGGAGTTTATATCCAGTTTACTTCGGGCTTTTTGGCTTCGTATGTCGCGGGCGGGAGATTCATGTGATTGGTTGATCGCAAAAAAATCCCCAAGCTTCAGATACGCCCACCTCCAAGATTTTTTTAACGCTGCCGTGGAGACGGCCCGTTAAGGGGAACTGGGGATATGTATTAGTGTGAGAAAAAGTTTTTAGAGAGTACTTGTCCATGGACAAGTGAGTTTGGCAATTTACTTGTCCGAATACATTTTTCACTTGTCCAGAATGGACAAAAATTGGGGCCACTGGAATCTTCTTCGCTATCGTATTTTACATTTTCCCACGGTTTTTACGTAAGATTTTACTGCATCACACATAGGGTTGGGTATCGTTTGGATTTGAACGATTACGGTTCTGCTTTTCGATTCCGGTTATTTTCGGTTCTCGATTCCGGTTCTTTGAGAGGGTAAAAATAAGTCCCATGACAAACTGGGAGAAAAATATATTTATGAAAACATTAAGTCAAATCTGTATTCCTATTTACAAATCACTTCATACTGTTTAATTTCTTACGATTACTGAATAAAATTATATAAAAATAATCTCTGCATTGTTTAGTTAGTTCTAAGTGGTACAGTTTGAGAATGTACAATTGGCCCAGTCTCCTCTGATGTTACACTGCAACCTGCCTGTGAGACAGAGAGACACATAGGCCTAATAATAATAATAATACATTATATTTATAGCCTATAGGCCTAGCGCTTTTCTACAACTCAAAGACGCTTACACGCTTACACATGTTCTGCAATACACATGCTGCAGCTGCTCACTGTTTGCAAAAGTAAATAAATAGTATTTTCATTTCAATAATGTATTTTCTATACCCTGCTTCATAAACAATACTGACATCCCTGTGCTCCTCCGAGTCTGGGGGTCGGGGGATGTGAGGACAGCGCGAGGACACAGACAGGGAGGCTGCTTTACTTCATAAAGGAAATGGCGGTCAATATTAACAACATAGGAGCTAAAACGCTTAATAACCTTCATTACGTGTTAGAGAAAGAACATAAGAAAGTTTGACAAATATGAGGCTGTTAAACGGGCAGCGGATCCGCTGTGAGTAGAAAGAGAGAGAGAGAGACGCTGAACTGCACCGTGCAGCGATCAGATGATCCGGAGCATAGAGAGAGAGAGCTGCGGTCCGCGGGGCTCGGCCTCGCCACCTGTCCTCACAACTCTTATTGATCCCGGTACCGGACAATTGTTATTTGTTCCTACTCGGAACCGAGTTTTGCTTCCCAACCCTGCCGCTGTGCTACACTTCCCGCCCCCGTCTAACAGTACAGAAAGCGGCGAGATGCATTTCCTTAGGAATCGACAAGCAGAACCGAAACTAACATTTCTAAACGAACAATGGCGGACACGGACAATTTGCGAACGAGTTCTGCCTTTTGAGAACTGAATTTATCTATAATTTGTTAATAAATGAGGGCGAAAAACGTCACTTGTCCACCGGACAAGTCAATTGAAAGATCTACTTGTCCGATATTGTAAATAACACGTCCCGGACGGTGGGACGTGTGCTTTTTCGCACACTGTGTATCAGCTGCTTGTGTGACAGTCAGACAGTGAATACTTTAGAGCCGTGTGAGCTAACCCGGAGCTAACGGGAGAATAAACTCCTGTGGAAGAGCAGCCAGCACTGCAGCGGTCGGTAAATGCCGCTGAAACACATTAATAAACAATGAACCACGGCACTCTGGAGAAAAGTATAAGGTTGGAGAAGTCGTTATTTAATTTAATCTGGCTTCGTATGATTAAAAGCAACACGATCATCGACCCGACGCAGTCCCCCCCCGTTGTTGTTGTTGTGAGCTCCGTTGGGGAGAAAATCAGCGACGTAAACTGTGACGTCATGACGCAGCAGCGGCAGCTGGGCGGTGTGAACAGAGCGGGAGCTGAAAAGGGAAACCAGAGCTGAACCAGAAAAGCTCTAGCTAGGAGCTAGAAAGGGAAAAGCGCTGGTGTGAAAGCCGCATATGAGTGATGTTTGGAGACTCACCTTCAGGGGGTGGAGGGTCAGCTGTCAGCAGGTTGAAGCAGCAGTGCTGCTTTTCAGTTTCCACTTTTCTCTCCTGTAGCTGAACTCAGAGGAAGTTGTTCATTTGGTCTGAAGGTGAATCTGATCGTCTGTTTTTCAGTCCGTCTGTCTCTCTGCAGTGAGGGAGAGGAACAAACTGTTTCAAACTAAAGTAACCAGCCTGTTTTGAAAATGTAAGAAGTAGAAAGTACAGGTATTTGTCAAAGTCAAAGTAAAAAGTCGTCAGAAAAATAAGTAGTGGAGTAAAGTACTGATACCAGAAAAATGTACTTAAGTACAGTAACAAAGTATTTGTACTCCACTACTTCCCACCTCTGCTCGGAGCAAAGTCTGCTTCAGAAACCGAGACAAGCAGCTCCAGTCCCAGAACCAACAGACAGAATGACCCGCTCTTTAAGAACCAGTCGGTGTCGCTGCGGCTCAGACACACATGGATTTATTAAGTTTGGAAAAACTTGTGTTGCGGTTATTTTTGCGGTTTATGGTCGATTAAAATATATGAGGTCTTTGCTTGCAGAGTATGGACGTCTTTGTGCTATATTCAGACGATACATAGCCTACTTGTAAATACTGGTCGTAGCTTCCTTCCTTTTAAGCCACTAGACGCCTTAAACAGACATTTATAACTCATTTTCTTTCCTTTATATTACTTACAGTTGAAGATTTGCTTGGCCTCCGATGGTTAGATGATGATTTATGCGAAGTGTTTGCTAAAAATAAAATAACAAACTTTTACACATGCAACAAAGCAAGGCCGTATTCATGGAGTCAACATTGGGGGGGACCAAAAATGAAATCAAAATTTGAATACAAATTTCCTGCCATTCTAACGGCCCGTCCCCACAGCAGCGTTAAAAAAAATCTTGGAACGCTTCTGCCCATTCACTTTGAATGGGGTGACGTCACTTTGCCTCACTTTTCGCCGAACTGCATTGTGGGAAGCAGAGCGGAGATTTTCAGGATTCAAAGTTGAGCAATGTTCAACTTTTGAAGCTGAGGTGGAAGCGTCAGCCAATCAAATCCTG